AAAAAATAAATACATAAAAAATTTTTACAATGTATAGCCTTAAGCAACTTAGTGAAATCCTGTCTCATAGTAAAAAATAAAAGAAGGGCTAGGGATGTGGCTCAGTGGTTAAGCATCCCTGAATTCAATCCCTCATAACCCCCCAAATACAATGTGTATACAAATATATGTGTGTGTGTATATACGTGTGTGTGTGTATATGTACTTTATCTTTCCTAAAGCACTCCTCATATATAATCTCATTTTAATGTTATCACCAAATTTTCTCCTTTTGCTGTCATCAGTAAAGGAAGAAAAGTAAAGTCTAGCAAGATTAAGTGATTTTGTCCTTAGTCACAAAATCAAGGTTAGAGGTGAAAGATAGCTAGGTTTTAAGATGAGCTAGAAGTACTTGATAGAAATAAGGTTGGGAATGTAGCTCACTCAATAGAGTGCTCATCTATCATGGTAAGACCAAAAAAACAAAACAAAACAAACAAACAAAAAAAGCTGTCACTTACTAAAAACCTGTGTCTGTATCATAATCTACCAGGCTGACTTCAATTTGAGGTCAAATTTATTTCATCAAAAAGCTACTAAATAGAAGTTAAGTTCCCAGAAAGAAGTAAGGAAATGCCCAAATAATCCTGTTCTTGTATTCACTCCTTGCTCCAGTTAAATTATTATACTAAGAGGAATGTGAAGATGCCCAGGCAAAGCCAGGTGAACCCCCGTACCAACTGGGTGGCCATGTAGAAGGCTTGGATGATGATCTGGGGGTGAAAACCCTCTTCTATGTATGATTTCACTTGCTTCAGAAACTCTGAAACCAGCAAGGTCACTGAAGTGGTACCATCAACAACCTCAGCATCTTGGGTCTTGGCAATGTCCACTAAAGGCTTTGCTGCAGGAAGGACAACATCAAGCAGTTTCAGAATAGTGGCCCCATCATTAGAAACTGTTGCTTTGCCTCAGCTGTCTACAATAAGTTTGTCCATGCTATGAGGACCCAGGGTGATTCTTACAATCTTGGCCATCATCTGGCAGGCACTGTTATTGCTTACAAGCTAAGGGATACCTTGGGAGCTATCAGTTCCCTCTTTCAACAGGATAATTGGTGTGGGCATCATTTTGGAAGCTTGATCAATGGCCCGCTAGTCCTGTTCTTCCTGTTAGGGCTACCCAGTAAACCCACTCCTACCCCTTTTTTAATATTTTATTATAGACAGGGTTTCATTGAGTTGCTAAGTGCCTTGCTAAGTTGATGAGACTGGCTTTTTATGAACTCATGATCCTCCTGCCTTAGCCTCCTGAGCCACTGGGATTTAATAGGTGCATGCCACCATGCCCAGCTATAATTTTATACAAATGTAGTAATACATTATATACTCTTACATACCTGGCTTCTTTCACTCTATATAGTTTCTGAGATTAATCCATGAAGTTGAGTGCATCAGTCATCAATTTGTTTTTATCAATAAGTAGTATTCCAGTACATGGATGTAGCACAATTTGTTTAGCCATAGTTATGTGGTGATGAACATTTGGGTTGTTTCTGGATTTGGGCTATTATGAATAAAGACACAATAAAAATTCCTGTACAAGTTTTCTGTGTACATGTTTTTCCTTCTTTTGGATAAATACATAGGCATGAAATGACTAGGTTACAACATGGTGTGTATTTAACTTTTTAAGAAAGTCTCTTCCCTCTAGGTGTCATCCAGAAATAGAATGGCTACCAGTAAGTTCTATGTATGTGATAGAAATTTCTATGTCATGTTTTAGGCTAAGCAGTAGGGGTGCTTTGCTCTCTGGGTTATAGAGGGGAGGAAGCTATGAATGCCAGAATGGGGAAGAGATTTATTTTGAGTAGGCAGCACATATAACAAAGCAGTGAAATTCTCCCCAGACTTTTTTCAGTCTCTTTAGAGGCATCCTCTGGTTTTTTCCTGATGGTAAAACGCCTGTAACACTTTTTGCCCAGGAGTGGAGGTAGAGGAGAGACTATGGAGAGCTTGTTAATACCATTATTTGGTATTTGGTAGACAAGCATTCAATTAATCCCCTCTGGTTCCCTTTTATCACCCTTACTTCTACATTATAGAGTCTGGAGCCTTCTAAGACATTTCCTGCCTATAGATTCTGGGGTGTTCCTTCTCTGATTATCCTTCTTCTGGAATTTGTTTAACTCACATTTGTGGATATTCCTTCTCTTGTCCTCTTCACTTTTCCTAGTGTTTTTTTTTTTTTTTTTAAACTGGGGTCTTGGCAGAGAAGAAAAAACAATTATCTTTTGGTCTGCAGCACTCATCCAGAAATTGGTGGTCTAATTCAGTGTAGCAATCTAATACCAGATCATACCAGTAAATCTGTTCTAGCCAAGCTCATCAATGACCATTGATGCTTACTCTAATGCTCACTTTCATGTCTTTCCTTAATCTCTCTGTAACACTTGACACTGTATGACTTCCCTCCTTCCTGAAATACTTAAAAAAAAAATCTTTATTTTACTTATTTCTTTTTATGTGGTGCTGAGGATCGAACCCAGGGCCTTGCACATGCTAAGCGAGTGCTCTACCACTGAGCCACAATCCCAGCCTCTGAAATACTTTTTGATCTCCACAATACTACTCCCTCCTGGGTTTCTCCTGCTGTGTGGCTTCTTTCAGTTTCAATTCCACACTTCTGTTCTCTGCTCTTCATCTTCTCTTACTTTACATTTTTTCCCTCAGTTCTGTGACTCAATATACTCTTTGAAACCTTGTAGTTGCCATGTTCAGACAGCCCCTCACCTAAGAAGCCTTTTGTTACCCTGCAAGGCTGAGAAAGGCACTCTGTATGCCCCCACAGGACATAACAGACTGGTCTAGAATTTCTCCCATGGTCCCAGATTGCCTGATTAGGGATGTTTCTTTCTCTAGTTATCAGCTCCCTGAGGCCCAGGACTGTGTTTTTATTCCCAATTCCTCTGACATACAGTTGATACTTAACACACAGTTAGCACTCAATAAATATTTGCAGAATTGAATTGAAATCATGGATATCAAAAGGTGCTTTGTATTTTATACATGTTATTATTGATGGTAAAAATTAGGTTTTGTACTGTGAAGAAAAAATATGCCAGGTAAAGATAAGCCTCAAGCCAATCAGAGAAAAGTCTAACATTCTTAATTAGTGTAATATAAATTAGTGATGCACATTTTAATGTGAAAATCAAATCCACTTCATTCCTTGGTACCTCTTTAACATCAAACCAATACAGATTTCTCCCATATAAAAGTCTTATTTCTATATTCATAGCACCATTCTTTACAATAACCAAGATGGTTTGTATGTCCACTGACAGATAAATGGATAATCAAAATGCTATATATACATATAATGAAATATTATTCAGCTTTAAAAGAATGAAATTCTGATACATATTACAACATGGAAGAACCTTAAGGATATTACACTAAGTAAAATAATCCAGTCACAAAAAGACAAATAGACAATAGAGGCTCTTGAGTAGTCAAATTCCTAGAAATAGAAAGTAGGATAGTGGCTGCTAAGGGCTAGGGAGAGGAAGAATGGGGAGCTGCTGCTTAGTGGGTTCAAAAGTTCAGTTTTGTGAGATGGAAAGAGATCAGGAGATGGTTTAAAATATGATTATGATGGTAAATGGTGTACATTTACCACCATTAAAGATAAAAAGTTAAAGAGAAGATAAAGAGTTTCACACAAAAATGCTATATTTTATCATAATATTTGTCAAACAAATAAAATTCTGACCTATGTTGAAAATGAAAATAAATAAATTAAATTGTGGAGGGAGTAAGGAGAGGTACATTAAATACCAAAATACTGTACAGTATTAAAAACAAACACAGAATAACAGTAATAATAGTGGACATCTATTGAAATTTATTAGATGCCAGGAAAATGCTTTAACATGAATTCATTCCTTCAAAATGACTATGCCAGAAATGCGAGCTTTGAAAGATTAAGTCACTTAACAGTGGCCTCACAGATAAAAAGTGGCCAAAGAGGGACTCAAACCCAGGCACTCCAGTCTAAGCCCATGCTCTGGCCTACTATCTGCCTGGGCACCTTGGGATAAGAAGAAGATATCAAAATGTTCCCTCTGCTTTCGTTGATGAGACAAAAGAAGATAAAGTTAGTGATCTAATAAGTACCTTCTATGTGTCAAGTACATATGGCATATCAGAGATTCATATCAGATGCAGATCTGAGGGAATCCACAGTGTATTGAGAAAGGTGAATATACATATGTGTGTGTGTGTGTGTGTGTGTATAAAACAAGTCAAGGCTATATAAGCCGTGAGCTGGCCAGAAAGGCAAAATGTCTAATGAAGTGTCTCATGCAAACACACACAATTCCTAGCAACACAAAATGAGACTAAATATAAACTAAATCAAATAAAATCAGTCTATTAAAACATACTCTAAAATAATAATAATAAAAAGAAGAAAACCTCATACTCTGTCTCAGAATGTTTTGGGGGAAAGAAAGAAAAAAAAGGTCAACTTTGTGTTCTTTTCAAAGAGAAAAACTTAACAGATTCTGGTGACTGACATTCATATCATAATAAAGAGGATAAAGATATTTTGTTCAGATTACACTTTCAGAAACAATTTTACAGGTATACATGTTAAAATATTCCCACATTAAAGATTCTAAAAGTCACAAAATATTTTTTTCCAAAGGTAGATCACTACCAGGACACTGTAGTGATCCACTATTAACCCTCCAATTCAAGCAGTTTCTTTTATATCTTTCCATTGCCCTTTAGTCCTCTCTAGACATAACATTCCCCCTGACCACAGCATCCGAAGAAAACACTCGCTAATATGTTAATGCCAAGAGTTAGAGAGACGTACCTTGCTTCCAGAGGCTTAAAATAATTGCTATTTTCTATGTTTAATGCAAAATCACATTGGTGCCTTCTGTACTAACATATCATATAAGTTTTACTTTTTTACTACACTGGTAAGAACTATGGGAATATATACTATACCTTGTTCCAATATCAAGCCAGCTGCCATAGTCCTTAACCAGGAAAAAAAAATGCTGTAAAATAAAACAAAATGTGACTCCATTAAAAAAAAAATCTAAAAATAAAATTGTTTTAGAATCATATGTATCATATTTCTTTTGATCTTTCAGAATAACTATCTGTCTAGAATCAATAAGAATATACCTTTTACTGAAACTTTTGCTTGGACTAAAATGATCAATAGTCTAAAGCCAGAAACAGAATTATCATCCAATCAAATAAACATAAAAGTGACATTTTTGAATAACTAGAAATAAAAAACCAACCAACTTATATAAGACAAACTAAATATCAAAAATATATATGAAAAGAAGCCATATCATCTATTTATCAACTCCATTTACTTAAACTGCTTACTGTGTATTAAAAAATCACTGTGTTAGTTCCTAGAGATAACTTCCCCTCATGAGACACATAATCTAGTGAATGATTCAAATTATCAGGTGTACCAGCATGTGAGGGAGGGAGGAAGGAAGGGAGGGAGAGAGGGAGAGGGAAAGGAGGAGAGGGAAGGGAGCGGGGAGTGGGGAGTTAGTTAGTTAATTACTAGAAAATACAAGCAATTACAGAATCACAGAAGGAGGGGTATAAGGTAAGGCTTCTCACTGAAAGGTGAAATCTGAGTGAAAAGTAGGAGTCAAATGAAATAGAGGATGAAGGGAAGACAGATGGGAAGCATGTTTCCAGCAGAGGGAAAAGCCTACATAGGCATCAAACATTCAGATAGTTTTATAGGTTCAAAGTGAAAACCTGGTGTAAAGAGAAAACAAACATGGAGGGGTGAGAAGCAGAAGCAGATCACAAATGGCTTTGCAAGTTAAATTACACAATCTGACTCTTCATGTAGAACTAATCAGGGAATTTCAGCTCTCTTTTATTACCATGTCTTGCCCATTTCTTACTTGGTGAGCAAAATTGAAAGCTGGTTTTTTTTTTTTGTTGTTGTTGTTGTTTTTTGAGATGCTGGGTATTGGCCCCAGAGCTTCATGTATACTAGGCAAGTACTCTACCCCCGAGCTACACTCCCAGCTCTGAAAGATGCTTTTTGTTCTAAAACTATGTATGATCAATTTCAGAAACATTGGACACATAGTTCCACAGAACACAAAATGCTCTCAACTAAATCTATTGACAAGGAAACCTGATTTGGAAGGTACTCAAATCTGTGTCTCTAGACACTTCTGACATGGGATGTTATATAGAAAAACATTGATCTTACTCCAAAAGGGTATGGCTTTTGTTCTCAAATTACTGGAAGGTCATTTCTAGGCCTTAGGATGTCAATTCTGACAGAAGTATTTTGCTTGGGGCATTGGTCACCAGATAGTCTAACATTAGGATTTATGATGGGAGTTTTGGGCCACATAGTACCAGTTTTACCCTGGAAAGACAGAAATTAAAGATCAGTCTTGTGGGTAGTATGTGATCAAGCTCCGATAAAAGACCTGGACATCAAAGCTAAGGTAAGCCTGTCTGGCAATGGTGACGTGTACTGTCATGCCTGAATGCTGAAAGAATAATGTTATCCTGATTCCACAGGAAAAAAAACAACAAAAGCTTTGCATCTGCTGTCTTCCTGGACTCTGCTCTATGCATCCTTTCCTTTAGATGATTTTAATCTATGATTTCACTGCTATCAACCATAACTGAATATAATCCTGATCAGGGATGCTTCTAGTGAATTATCAGACCTACAAGGGTTTTGGGGGAATCCTCAGACTTATAGCTATAAAATAGATTCCTCTTTGTGTTAATACACTATACAGAAGCTCCTCACTCAGAACTCATTTATTATAATTATTATCTTGATAACTCTTCCTAATGGAAAAGCTCTATTTCCTTTTCCCTTCCTACAATTCTTCCCTTTTTTCCTTTCTTCTTTTAATCTGAAAGAAGGGGGGGGGGAAGTCTACATTTTAAATTGGAGAATGATGTGTTACCTAAATCAAACACTAATTTCTGTTAACTTCCTATGGAAGGTTCATTTCGGAAACAAAGCAATATGGAAGAATAGCTATAAAATGACAGGCTTGAATAAATCAAGTAATGAGACTTTTGACACCTTAAGAAGAGTGCTTTTACTACACACATAGTTTAGAAAAAATAATTTATCTGTGTCAGTTATGTCAGCACTTGGAACTCAGTATCTAAAGATTTTATGTGCAGAAATACATTCACGTGTCTCTTGATTAAATTATCTCAGCACTTAAATTCTCAATTTTATTTATACCAAATATACAAAAATGCCTTACCAAAGCCATAATGTCTGATATCACCAGGACAATGAGAAAAAGGCTGGAAATTAAAAAAAAAAAAAAAAGAGAGAGAGAGACACACAATTTATAGTTAATACAACAGGCACAGTCAGGTACATTAAGATCCAAATGAAAATAATTAAATAACCCTTTAGGAAAAGCAATGCCCTAAAAATGGGAGAGTGAAAGGTAGGGTTACTCATAGCGCCACCCTAGCTCTGCGTGACTGACCTCTGGACTCCCTTTTACAGGAGACACATCTACCACCAGTTAGATTTTTGTTACAGCCAAAAACATTCCCAACAGATCATCCATCCGGTACTTTTCATGCCCCACACTCCTTCTTTTGGGCCTCTACCCAAAATATACAAAGCTTTGTTGATGAATCCAGTTACTAAGAGAAACTGATATTTAGAAAAGTTAATTTTAAGTCATGAAAAATAAAATAATGCTAATAAAGCTTTTCTTTTCTTTTTTATTTTTATTTATTTATTTTTTTTGGTGATGCTGGGGATTCAACCCAGGGCCTTGTGTTTGTGCAGCAAGCACTCTGCCAACTGAGCTATATCCCCAGCCCCCTAACAGAGCTTTTCTACTTTACCTTTGTTCAATACATATTTTAAGGAATCAGAAGAATATAATTAGAATCATCTCAGTGGTTTGATGAACTCAGCCTTGGAATTATGGAACTAATAACCAGGTTATTATTAGTATAAGCTACACTCTTACATTAATCTCTATCCTTTCAAGAGCTATAAGAAAATGTTTAGCAACAAAAACCCCAGGAAAATGTGCAAATGAAGGAGTGATGGTATCACTGATATTTAAAAAGTGAATATGGCAGTAAAGGATAGATGGACTTAGGCTTGTGTGAAAAAGGAAACTGCTAGGTTTAATGTGTGATATTCAATCTTAGAAGTCTGTGTGAAATCCTGGGAGAAATGTCAATGTCTTGTAAGAATTTAATGGGTAAAAGAGAGTATTTTTATAAAACCTTAGTTTGGCTACCTTTTGCGTCAGTTCTCTCTCTCCCTTGGTGTTCGGTTTTTCATTGCATCAATATCAAGATATAATTACTATACACACAGGCATGCATACACACAAAATATACACACACACACACACATCCTGACAAGCCTTTGACTTTTCATTCCACGTGTCCCAGTTTTCAATCAAGTCTTAATTAAAACCCTCTGTAAAAAATTTATTCACGGAAATGGAGGGCAGTACTTGTCATTCATTTTTTTTATTGCATCTGAATAACACTTCCATGTGATATTGACAAAAAAGTGTAAATGCTTTCAATATGATATTCATATAGACATCCTGCAAAAGTATACTAACATTTCAAACTACAAACAAAATTTTTACTATTCTTACATATTAGAAAAACATTTTTTAAAAAAATTATGGCACAATAGTGTGCTAAACTAGTTTTAGGTTAAGCTCATCAAGAGCAACATTTATATTTATGTTAATGCTAGTTGTTTCTTTCTTTTCTTTTCTTTTTTTTTTAAAGAGAGAGAGAGGTAGAGAGAGAGAATTTTTAATATTTATTTTTTAGTTATCGGCGGGCACAACATCTTTGTTTGTATGTGGTGCTGAGGATCGAACCCGGACCGCACGAATGCCAGGCGAGCGCGTCACCGCTTGAGCCACATCCCCAGCCCTGTTTCTTTCAACATTTAGTATGCCATTGTGATTCAAGAATAACAAATTACTAAGAACCTTTATATTTATATCAAGTGTTTTTTGGAGAATGCCTATGCTGATAATGCAATTGTACTAGTTTAAAAAAAATAAACAGATGACTTAACAGCTTCTCTCCCAGAATCTTGATCAAGACTGATTGCTCTAGAAATGCATCAAAACTCAGAAAGAATACTTTCTACCCCATTTCTCAAATGTGTAAAAATCAAGACTAGAAACTCAATTACTGATATTTAGAAAAGTTAGTTTCAAGCCATGGAAAATGAAATGTTAAAAAATTTGTCTAATACATATTTAGGAAAAAAGCCAAAAGAAGTTAGAATGATATCCCTTGTTTTAGTAGGCACAGTTATATGTAAAAGAAACAAGTAATTAATTATAATATTTAACATTAATATTTCACCCTTTGCTAGGGAAGTTCCTCACTAGTTAAATAATATTCTAATAACATTTTATTGCTTAGAAAGCATATCTGTCTGCTAGAGGATCTAATCAATTAATTTCCTCTGGCAACAATTGAACTCTGATTAGAAGGGTGAAATATTTTTCATTTTTGTAAGTAACAATCTATGTAGCAGGGTCTTAATAGCAATACATGAAATATCTTCAAATGTTTACTCTCACTTATTAAAAATGGGAAAATCCAATACTTCTCAATCATTAACCTTACCTTTTTGATGATAACTGTGTAGTTAACTGAACTGCTTCAAAAGCACACATGACAAGAACAAAAGGAATTAGAATCTGTTTAAAAGAACAAATGATGCCACTGGTAACTGAAGCATTTGAAACACTCTTTTAAACAAATACTTTCTCAAATAACTTTCACATATACTAGTGTGGAGCAAACACTGAAGTAAAAACATGATTCCAAGGACACAGAACAGTGATAAAATTGATTTAAAAATCTACATTAATATACACAGCATAGAAGATAACAAACATCAATACATACTCCAAATAAAAACCTATTATAAAATTTGCCGTGTTTAACTCATTTTAATAATTAGTATCAATTTTCAAACCATTCCAAGCAGCTGTGAAAAGCATAGAATGCCCAAATAAAATAGATTAAGCACCTGGTAACTTGATTTACAGATCTCTAAACTCATCTGGCTATTTGATACTGTAACACTATAAATATGATTCATGCTTTATCAGTGCCTTTTGTTTTTTAAAAGATACATATTTATTTCTGGTTATAAAATTCTTATTAATTGCAATACATTTGAAAATATATAGAGAAAGGTATAAGAAAATTTATACTACTTGAAAATTCATAATACAGAGCCAAGACTTTTAATGTTTTGAGGTATTATTTTTCAATGACCAATTAAAAAAATATGTATATGTATATATATGCATACACACACACACACAAACACACACGCCACACCATGGTGAGCATGACTGTAATCCCAGTGGCTCAGGAGGCTGAGGCAAGAGGATCTCAAGTTCAAAGCCAGCCTTAGAAACTAAGCAAGGATTTAAGCAATTTAATGAGACCCTGTCTCAAAAAAAATTTTTTTAAAAGATGAGGGAGCAGGAGATGTGACTCAGTTTGTGGCTCAGGGGTTAAGTGCTCCCCTGGGTTCAGTCTCTAGTTAAAAAAAAAAAAAAAAAAAGACTGTATAAGTTTATTTTCCAAGTGAAGGACATATGAATAAAACAAGGGGGGCCCTCACTGATGACGGATAAGTCAACAAAAGTCATCTTATGTATATGCTGTTAAAACTCACTGAATTATGCTGGAGATTACAGATCAGTATTCTAATGTGAACCAGTTTGCCAGCTTCCCTGTCTGTCTTTGTTTCTGTCTTATTTTTAATTAGGCTTATGGTCTTTTAATAGAGAAAAGAACAACTACGATTTAAAGAATGTGAATGAAAATTAAGAAAGCAATAACATGTTCTCAAATAATTCAATAGAGAATAGACATAAGAAAATCCAGAATATCTTTTCAACATTTCCTAAACTTAACTTTTGTATTAGTACATTAATTAAACTCCTTAAGAGAATATATACCTTTAACAATTGCTACTTATATGATCTGAAGAGAAGGTAATAATTTTAGGTAGGCATTAATTACTTTATTTAAGTAAATATGTACTAACTACATAAAATGTGCCAGAGACTATGGTAGAGGAAATTTGTTAGTGGGAACAAGAAAAGTAAAATGACCTTGGAGAAGAAAAGGATGAACATAAATTATACTCCACTGGAGAGTCTATACCTGTGGAAATCTGAGAATACGTCATTTTTCTACTGCCAGAACTCAGGTTGTGTCTGCCACATCCATGAATGAAGCACTCAATGACATATTTGTTGAGGGAATGAGTCAATTCTAGGTACTTGGATTATGAGGAAAGATTGTAACATGCTGTCTGTCTCAAGGTGGGGACCAGAGGTTCAGGGGACTTTAGAATCCTGAACAGCACTGCAGTTTTGATCACAGCTTCTCCACAGGCTTTAATAACCTTTGATAGGCCTTTATGAAACTAGTATGGAATCATCTTTTGGAATCAAATACTCTTTCAGAGTAGAGCAAGAAAATTAACTGTATTTAGAAGTAAAGGGAAGAATGTACCACCTCCAGTTTAGTATTGGTGTCAATGCCAAGTCTTAAAGGTATCTTCTTTCTATGGCTACTTAACTCTATTACAATGACTTTACAATTTTAATGTCAAATTTTATAATTTAATAATCTTAAATCACAATGAATTCATAATCTTAGTCAACCAACAGCTTAATACAAACAATGAAAAAGAAAACTAACCTTCCACATCATCAGGGATCCCATCATGAAAGGACTAAATACAGTCAGAAAGCAATAGACAGAGGCAAGATCAAAGCTAGGGAATCATTAAAAAAAAAAAAAGAGGAATTTAGAATTCATACTGTAACTTTTAAAATAATATTCTGCTTAAATGATGTTTAAATTAATTCTCTATAACCTACTCTTATTAAAGCACAAGCAGGGGCTGGAGTTGTGGTTCAGTGGTAGAGTGCTTGTCTAGCCTGTGTGAGGCACTGGGTTCGATCCTCAGCACCACATAAAAATAAATGAAGGCATTGTGTCCCTATACAACTGAAAAAAAAAAAAAAAACAAACCTACAAGCATACATTATACAGAGGAATATTGTAAAGCCACTGAAAATAAACAAGATAGGTCTGTGTGTGATGATACACACTAATCCCTAAAAGATATCATTGAGTATGAAAAACAAGGTACAGAACAAAAATCAGGGAAGTTCTAATTTGTATTATTCTTTTGGATATGCATGCGCACACACACACACGCAAACACATACTTTCATTTAAAATTACCTGTTAATAGAGGCTATATTTCCAGTTCCAAAAAATGCTGTCACTAAAAAGAAAACCTAAAAAAGAGGTAAGGAAATGCCAAAGCAAGTTGGAATTCATACCAATTTCATTTAGAAAAGACACGCCCATTCAACATGAGGGGAATTTACTTTTTGACTTGTACACTGATCATAATTGTTTTAACTGAATGTTTAATCATATTCCTCATATATATATTTTGAAAAAACCAGCTGAAGAAGCAACATACTGAGAACTGAGGCCTGGTAAGTCATTTTGGTCACTAGTCACTTTGGGAAGATTAGTTTCCTCTTCTTGAACATGAACAAGTTGGACCTTATCTGTAGTTAGCTGTTAATGACTTTTTCAAAAGAAAAATGCAGACCTAGTACATACAACAGACACCTTCATATGCAAGACAATTTAGTTCTTAACCGCCTGCTATGTGCCCACAACATGTGAAACACATGCTAGACTCTTTGAAAGGCTCAGAAAGAAACAAGCATGTTTCAGAATAATTCAATTAGACAATGAGACTACAGAAAATTTTGAGCATCTTCTTGGCATTTCTTAAAGTTAGATGTATGTTAGTACAGTAATCAAAAGTAGGTATTAATCTTATAGGTGCCCAGAGTTTACTGCTAGTAACATTCTTAAAATAATGCCTCACCTATGAAAGAGCTCAATAAATGCTAGTTATCTTATTATTATATATGTAAAAATTGGTACAGAAACCCTAAATAAGAAATATGAATCACAAAAACTTTCAGTGAAATAGTGGCATATGAGTTGGTGAGTTGAGCTTTAAATAGATTCATGCATCCATTCATTTAACCAATTATCTAACCAAGTAACATTTATTGTCTAGTATATGTCAGAGACAAAGCAAGGCACTACGACTATATAAACAGACTGATATGGTAACTAAAATCAGTAAAGAAACTGTGGGAAAAAATAACACAGTCAAGAAATAGAAAGATGTGATAGAAACTTAAAAAAAGTGTTTATTGAAGGATAGAGTAAAAGATGAAATATGAAATACAGATTGGAGACATATTATTAAAAACCCTGAACTTTACTGTAGAAAGAATGAAAAGTAGCAAGTATTTATGTGAGTCACATAATCAAGAAATATCAGTGATTGTATAAAATTCTGATCAGAAAAACAAACAATTGGAGGCAAGAAATCCACCAAGGGAGTTATTTCAGTAGTCCATGTCAGAGATAAGGAAGTCTGAATCAGTGCAGTGACAGTGGACATAGAAAGACTGTGGGGAGGCAATGGGACTTTAGAAATAGGCAAGGAGCAGTTTGAAAAATTTGTGTGGTTGTGAACATGGTGATGGCATTAAATGAGAGGAGGCCTGTCACAGAATAATTCTGGAGAGGAGTAGAGCTGATAGGTTAGAATCTATATTTGGTGATGCCCAGGAGAACGTTGGACATGTGACACCTGACGTCAGGAGAGAAGTCAAAGCTAGATTAGCAGAGGTGAAGCTGTTAGCACAGAGGTGTCTGTCACCGCTATAGGAGAGGATGGCAATAACCAGCCTCACAGAAAAAGGTTAATGGTGTATCTTGGAGAAAACATATGGTTCAAGGTCAGGGAAAGGAAGGGGTTTTAGAGAGGAATCATGATATAAAAAGTTAAAAGGAGAACTTGTATAGAGTCCTAATGGTCAAGGGAAAAGAAAAAAGAAAATCAATAGAATTAAATGTTACAGCATCGTCAAGTAAATAGATGAAACTGTGAAGTCAGGAAACCCCTGCATACCATTCAGAGTACAGTTTCAGCAGAGACATTTGACGAATATTGATAGAGCACTACTATGTGCCAGGCACTGTTCTAAGGCTTGTGGATATAGTGAATAGATTATAAGGAAATAATGGCAATTACTACGGATTTTTCTTTCAAGAAGTTTGGTAGTAAACAGGACAAAATACAATTGTAACTTAGGGGGATGTAGTATTCTGGGGGAAAAGTTTTTTTCGTTAGCATTGACTGAGTGGAAAGAATCTGTGAAGACAGAGAAAAGTGAAATTAAGAATGAAAACCAGGGGTAGAGAGGGGAAAATGAGAGTATTTATTTTTTTGGAAGAAAGTTCAAAGGAAATATTTGTTTATTTTATAGTAAGTTCAAAGGAAATACCTCTAATACTTACAAGCCATATATATGATAAGGGGTAGATATCCAAAATATATAAAGAACTTGCACAGCTCAAAATTAACAACAGCAACAACCCCCACAAATAATTCAATGGAAAAATGGGCAAAAGATCTGAAGATATTTCTTAAAACAGACAACACACACACACACACACAATGCCCAACAAATATATTAAAAGATATTCAACATCACTAATGATCAGGGAAATGAAAATCAAAACCATAATAAGATATCACCTCATACCTGTTAGAATGGCTACACTAAAAAAGAACTGTTGGCAAAGATGTAGAGAAAAGAAAATCCTTATAAACTGCTGGCAGAAACATAAACTGGTATAGCCATTATGGAAAACATTATGAAGATTCCTCAAAAAATTAAAATACACCTACCACATGACCCAGCAATTCCTCTTCTGGTATATATCTAAAGAAAATGAAAGTATCTTCAAGAGATATCTATACTCCCATGTTCATTACATGATTATTCATAATAGCTAAAACATGTAAAAAACCTAAATGTCTATTGGTGGATGAATGGAGAAAGAAAAAAATATATATATACATGCATGCAATGGAATATTACTTATCCTTAAAAAAGAAGGCAACCCTGCCATTTGTGACAACTTTCATGATCCTGGAGGACATGATGCTCAGAGAAGACATAGAAAGATAAATACTATAAGATTTTACTTAGATGTGTAAACTAAAATAGCTTTAGAAACAATAAGTAGAATCAAGGTCAGTAGGGGCTGGGAGGAGGGGAAAAAAAGAAGGTGTTGGTCAAAGTGTATGAAGTTTTAGTTACCTAAAATAAATAATGTCTAGAGATCTAATGTATGGCATAGTGATGACAGTTAACAATGTATTAGCTATTATATTATATATTAGCCATTATACACTTGAAATCTGCCAGAAGAGTTGATCTTAAACGTTCTCACCAAAAAGGAAGGAGGCAAGGAAGATAAGAAGGAAGGAAAGAAAATGATAACTATGTGAAACAAGAGGTATTTATTTAGTTTGTGATGATCATTTTAGAATGTATATGTATATCCAAGCATCGAGTCAAGTTAAACATTGTAAATATATATATATATGTAAAATTGTTGTCAATTATACTTCAATGAAGATGAAAAACATTAAATTTTAAAAAAGGCATAACTCCCTATGAATTTCTTGGAGCTGGTCAGCCAGCCTTCCCAAAGTGACGCTTTATCATACTGACTTTTCTTTTTACTGTATATACTTCAGCAACATTGCCTCTGATGTGACCCCAAAACCCTTATGAGACAGATGTTATATAATATAAATTTCATGTGAAACACATATAAAAAGATACAAACCCATAACAGTGATGGCTTCCAGGGTGAGAGAAATTAGACTGGAGTTAGGAGTTGAAAGGAGACTCCAGCTTTACTATAACATTTTAATTTTTGTAAAAAAAAATATGCCTGTGTGATAAAATCTCAATTGTTGATATCTTGAATGATGGAAAATATACACATTTATTTATTACATTATTCTTTATACTTTTCTGTATTTAAAAACTTTAAAAATGTGAACTATATATATGAGAAAGCTATGGCTGAGATGAGTTAATACACTAAGAGCTATTACATTAATACCTTCCAAGTATTCTCACACCATTAAATGGGAGGTAGCAGGTCTTAAAACTTCCAACAAAGGATACAAGGAAAAAAGCTCTACGGATGTCATCCAGACAGAGATGTCGAAACTGAATTATATCAGTATTATAGGAGAACTGGATACTTGTGAGCTGTGAGATAATAAGAAACACATTAATGCACATTAAAAATTGGCTTACTTCTACCTTCAAAGGTTAAACTTACAATGGCCAAGTTATCATGGCAGAAATACACCATGTGCTAGCAAAATGATGGACAAAAATTTTTTTCTACAGCAAAATTACACCTTAAAAAAAATCTGCAAAGGCTGGGCATGGTGGTGCACACCTGTAATACTGGCAGCTTTGGAGGCTGAGATAGGAGGATCGTGAGTTCAAAGCCAGTCTCAGCAATGGCGAGGTGCTAAGCAACTTAGCGAGACCCTGTCTTTATTCATTTATTACTTTTATATGTAATAAAAGTGGGAATTCCCTTTTTTTTCCAAAGGTAAGAAGGGGTTCTTCAGAGAGAGTCCTGATCTTCTTCTTCTTTTTTTTAAAATAGTTTTTAATTGTCAATGGACCATTATTTTAGTTATTTATATGCGGTGCTGAGAATCAAACCCAGTGCATCATGAGTGCTAGGCAAGCGCTCTACCACTGAGCTATAACCCCAGCCTGAGTCCTGATCTTCTTAAACCCAAGTATGGTATATTAAATGGCATGGGAAAATTAAATGTTTCTCTGTTTCTTTGTTCTGTTAATTCTATTGCACTCAAAATGTTATTTTTTTCTCTAAGAAAGCAAAACATCCCTGGTCTTGGTAAAATGGAGAGTCACTCAATTACAACAAGCTGGGTGTACTTTTGCTTAACTCCTCTGCCCCAGGTTGACTTTACAGAAAGACTACCCTCACCACTACTTCCTCTTTAAGTTCCTGGAGTGCTTTAATACTATTTTCTAGAAAAAGACAGATTTGCTTTCAGTTAAAAATAGAATATAAAAAGTGACAATGACCCTCAGTCTGTCAAAATATTTAATTCTTACCATTTACATTAATCTGATCAAAACGGCTTTTTATGTATTAATATTCCAAGGCTAAGAGTTAAACACAAGAAATTACTTAATATACTTCAATAAGGAGTCTTTGGTACTTAAATTAGTTATTCTGAATTATCAATGCTTCTCTATAAACTCAATTGCAGCCATTTAAGGATGGATCAACTGTCAAAGTATTTTTCTGCAATATTCATTTATCTGACCTCAGTAAAACTGTAAATATTCTATCACCAATTTCTCAAGACCTTCAGTTCTAAAAAAGGCAACAAACATCAATTTAGTTCTCTAACTCAGCATGATCAAGGTGTCCTTAAAAATGTGGTTGGCTTCTAGCCAATTCCAAGTATACTGTGTGGCATAAGCAGTGTAAGATGTGTGCTAAGGCCACAACCACTAAGATGACAGAACAAGCATCTTGGATTAGAATGTGGAGGAAAAACAACAGTGGGAACTTAAATGGTGACTTATGATCAAATTTATACATTAACTTATGACAGCATGAAAATTCTTTTGACTAAAATAAATTGACAAAAGGAAATGTTGGATGTGAAAACAAGGAAAAATAAAATGAAGGGCATTTTTCTCTAAATATCAACGATTAAGAAAAACTCAATGGAGGGCTGAGGCTGTAGCTAAGTGGCAGAGTGCTTGCCTTGCATGTGTGAGGCACTGGATTTGATCCTCAGTACCACATAAAATGAACAAATAAAATAAAGGCATGCTGTCCATCTATAACTACAAAAACAACAACAACAAAAACTCAACCTATCCATTGCTTTTAAAACTATTAAATTGTGTTTTTCTGTGATAAGTGAAACTTTTTCTTGCAAATTATTTAACTTAATTGCTTATGTTAAATAAAATTTACTAAACTTCTTTAAATACTAAAATTTCAAGTAGATAGAATTTTCGATGAAATATCATGACTCCCTTATAGTTCACAGAATATTTCAATGTTCTCAGATAAATCCAATTGACAAGTCACCTTTTGTTTACAGCAAACACCAGATTGTTGTAGGGTTTCTTGTTCCATATGTATCCAGATGAACATCAAACATGATAACACTAATGGAAAGAGAGCTTCATACCTAAGTAGTGAGAAGTAGGGGGAGGAAGGGTAGAAACGAGAAGAAAAATACATGAACAAATAAAAACTCAAATTTATACTGGAGGTCTCTCTTTAAATAATTTTGATAATACTCCTCAGCCACACTGTCACAAATTTAAATTTTCTAGGTTTTCTAGAAGAAAATAATATTTAAAATTTAACTCTTAACACTATCATCTTTTAAATTTATTAAATCTTGAGATAATTACAAGTTTTAAAATAGTAAAGATATTTAAAAATAATTAATAAAATAAGTTATTCATAAAAGAGAAAGAAAGCATTAAGACAAAAGTAAAAAGATAATTTCTAATGCAAAATTTTATATATATATGAAAAAGATGAACTTTCCAAATTTCCTAAAAAAATGACTGCAATACAGGAACACGAACTTCTTGAAAAAAAATAAAAGATCCAATAAACACATAAAAATGTTTGGCCTCATCAATAACTAATATGGAAATCAAAACAATAATGAGATACTATACACTTATTTATCAGCATTAAAAAATATTCTTGACAAGAGTGCAATGAAAATGAACTCTTGTGTTCTCTTTATAGAAATATACACTTCTGGAAGGCCATATGGTAGTAGACATAAATCTCAAAAATATTCATAATGTATAATACCATTTCTAGAAATGTACTCTGAGAAAATTCCAATTATAAAGATTTTGGATGTAATATTGTTTACAGAACAGAGAGTTCAGAGAAAACTACATGCCCAAGAGAATGATTAAATATGATATATTTGTAGGCTGGAGTGTAACGTGGCCACAAAAAAGAAAAGTGCCCACGAGGTAACATGGTGACAGAAACTTTTTTTAAGCAGCTTCTGCTGTGGTTTGGGATAAGTGTTCCACCTTTGCAATTACAAAATGCTTTATTATAGTACTTACACAGTTTTAATCACATGTCAATATGAAGACAGCACCTATTAGTTTATAAAGTCTTTGAAAAACAAACTCTGTTTTGTCACTATGGCAGGTCCAGCTCACCAGAAGTGGTTTTGAATGAGCTATTAACCTAATTGGAAGTTACAAGATAAAAGAAAAATACTTTCTTTTAACTTTTCAACTACTGAGTTCTAGGCCATATGGCACCATTTTCTTTTTTGTCAAAATTTTATTTATTTTTTATTGGTTGTTCAAAACATTACAAAGCTCTTGACATATCATATTTCATACATTTTATTCAAGTGGGTTATGAACTCCCATTTTTACCCCGTATACAGACTGCAGAATCACATCAGTTACACATCCACGTTTTTACATACTGCCATACTAGTGACTGTTGTATTCTGCTACCTTTCCTATCCTCTACTATCCCCACTCCCCTCCTCTCCCATCTTCTCTCTCTACCCCATCTACTGTAATTCATTTCTCTCCCTTGTTTTTAAATTTTTTTCCCCTTTTCCCTCACTTATGGCACCATTTTCTAAGCATGAGACACCATAAGAAACAAAATACTTTTAATTCTACCACAATCATAAAATGAAAACACTGAAGCTTGGGCAGGAACGCCTTTGAAAAAGCAAGCACAAATCTTTTGGTATGTAAGATTTAGAACATCCATGGATGTGAACAGATATTACATACATGAGAAAATATCATTAGTAAAGCAAGTATAGAAAACTGTACAAAGCAGTACCATTTATGGCCTACTAAAATAGTATTTAATATTATTTAAAAATGAAATGCCACTGTTGTTAAGACAGATGCAAGTTTCTAGAAAAGTATATATTCAAAGGCCATCTATGCTATATTGAGAAAGAAAAAAATTAAACTATGTAAAAAGCTTATGCATAATACTATAGCTCAAAATATTATTTATAATAACAAAAAGTATAAATAAATAAAATGATTAAAAACAGAGGAATTTGGGTGCATTCATATCATGAAATATTAAATATCTATCAAAATGAAGGCTAGTGAACTATGAGCCATTCGGGGAAAAAAATGCTTGTAAAATAATGTTAAATAGAAAAAAAATGATACAAAGTAGGACATGTACTATGATAAATTCTACGTTAAAAAAAAGATAAATACAGAGTTAGGGCTAGAAAGAAATATAGCAGAATATCAAAAGGAACATGTAATAATAACTTTTCCCCTTATCATTCTTTTCTAAAATATGGCAATACTACTTTTATAATGACAGAAAAAAAGGAAGGAAGACAAAATTTAGAATGCCATTCAAGTTCAACTTCCACATGAGAGCTTGATGGCCCTAACTCAGTCCCCCTACTCAAATTCCTTCCTAGTCACTCTTCACATCATACAATCACAACTTAACTCAAAATAATTTGTTCCATTTTATAATTTACCTAACAGTCCTCATTATATAGCACTTTATAACTCTGTTGAATGCCTACACTACAGTAATAATTCTCTCTGTATGACTTCCTAGTACTCAGGACGTTGGAGATATGAAAGAAAAAACAATTGTTGGTTAATTAATCAAGAAGGTACATATCTAAGCAAAAGGGGACTGTAATTTTTAAAATACTTGCAGTTATATATGAAGTTATTCCTTCCTAATTTATAAAAACAAATCCCTTAGTTCTACAAATGGTGCTACAGATTTATTTCCTTTCAAAAAAGTATATACTATGACCACTTTTTTTTTTTTTGGGTAAAATATGGATGAATAAAATCAGATCATGACAATCTTCCTATGATATATTATCTCATAAGACAATGAGAATTTTGTGTAAAGTCTGCAAATATGAATTAAAAACTGAAATATCAATAAAATGTCATCATGGATTTGAAGAGAAAAAACCTTACTAAACTAGGATCTGCTGATTTGGTCTCTGTGCAAACTAAATAGGGCTGATAAGGTATTTAGGTTTATATTATAGTTTGCTATACAATGTGATAAGGTAAATAATATTTCAGAGGAAAATGTTTAATCAACTTACAAGACAAACTATTTTCAAGCATTACCATATCTTTCATTTGCATAAAATAAATCTTCACTAAATAAAATTAAGGATTGCATTGTTAGGATTATTACAACTGCATTAAAGCTGCATTTCTTTCAAGTATCCTATATTTCTGAAAATTCCTTAATTTACATAGAGAAACCTCTAGGTTATCTAAAATAGTGATGCTGAACCCTAACAGGTAGAATAAATTTTGCAAAATTGATCTGACACTGAAAAAAATGTACTAACCTAACTGATTGGACTGTACTATTTCAAGATATTTTTTATTTTTTTGCAAAGCTAAATATAGGTTCTGATCTTGAATACTATATCTCTTAATGCATTCATTAATAAGGTCATATTTGGCCTTAATATTTTGATTTTAGACATGAACTCTAACATTTTTTCTTCTTAAAATAAACATCCTTCTGATGATCTGTTTTATTATCTCTCATGACCACTAAATTGATGATTTAAAACCTTTAATATGCACCCCCAAGGTAAGTTATATGCTTAATTAATGCTACATTATAAAAGTTTTTCCACTCAAAATTAAACTTAAGTATCCTTCCTTTTTTTCCTTTCCTCCTTCATTTCTAACCCAACAAACCAGATCTATTTCTGGGTTTGTTCCTATTTTTTAATTTACTACATATTTATTTGAACATATACTGCTTTAGAATTTAAAGGTCCAAAAAGGAAATGAATTTATTCATAATTAAGTGACTATATAGAAGCTAGCACATTATTTCTGGACCCACTCAAATATTTATTTCCTTAAGTCAACTTCTGGGTAAAAATCTAGGGCTGGGGTTATAGCTCAATGGTAGAATGCCTGCCTAGAATGTGAAGGCATTGGGTTTGATTCTCAGCACCACATATAAATACATGTCCATTGACAACTAAAAAAAAAAAAAAAATTAAAAAGAAAGATCTCTTAATAAAATTTGTATGTCATACCAAAATGGTGGGTAAGAAATTATTTTATTTTTTTTGCTTTCTTGTTTAGATTAAAAATGTGTGCATATTCTAATTCATTTCTACCTTGAAGGGTGCTAATATAACAAAATTATTTATTCTAAAATTTCATCAAAAAAGGAGGAAAACGTGAAGGGTTTTAAGGTCCTATGATGGTTAACACTCTTGAATATATGGTCACATACTTCAAATTTTATTTGAAAGTTCAAAGTTCTAAATCTCAAAGCAAGTCCATCTTAAGATCTTGTTAGGTAACTGGTAGAAATTTCTTTCATGCTCATATTATATCTTCATAGCTGTGGCCCACATCTGGTTAGGCAGGGAAAAGAGAGAAGATAGAAGGTGTGGAAAGCTTTGAGGAGAAAAGGAGATTTAGAATCCTACTTCATTTCCTATCTGGGTCTACAAGAACTCTCAAGGTCACTTAGGATGTTAAGGGCAACTATGAAAAGATTTTGAGAACTTGTCTCTAAATCCTGAATTAGAACAAGCAAGTTTCCCAAAGATTTAACCCAGGTTTTGGACCCAAATGGCTTTTAAAACTTATCTACAAGGGTAAATCCCTTGGTTTAGTCTAATTTTGAATCAAAATACTCTATTTGGGCCAAAATTTGAACTTTGAGTAGTATTTATTCAATTTGTCTGTACTACTGATCAATTTGTCTGTTCTATTGTGTGTTAAATGTAAATATTTCTCACTCTCATAAGGATGAAATTTGAAAGCAAGTGAAGAATTCTTTCCTTCAAAGTAATTAGGGAGTGTATATAATTAAGTTCTAAAGAATGCTTCAGAATTCATGTTAAATCAAGCTACTGAAGACTTTATTTTATTTTGTAAAAAAAAATTTCAATAATAAATAAATTATTTAACTTTTGAGAAAATATTTTGAAATTTCCTTGAAAGAATATTTGACTGTAAAACATGTAAGAATAAGAATAAAACTAAAATATTATACTCAAATAACAACAAATAAATTAGACCATATATATATTTTCTTTTTTTTGCAATACTGTGAATTGAACTCAGAGACCACACATGCTGGATAAGGGCACTGAGCTATACACCCAGCTCTAAAGCATCATTTAAAAAGCATGAGCCAGTATAGTAGCCCACACTTGTAATGTCAGTGACTTGGAGGCTGAGGCAGGAAGATTGCAAGTTCAAGCCAACCTGGACAACTAAGCGAGACCCTATCTCAAAATAAAAAATAAAAAAGGGATGGGGATGTGGCTCAGTGGTAAAGTGCCTCTGGGAAAATTCTCTAGTACCCAAAATAAACCAAAATAATAAAATAAAATGCATGAAAAGAATGCAACAAAAATGAAATCCTTTTTTTTAAAAAAACAATATCTTTATTTTATTTATTTATTTTTATGTGGTGCTGAGGATGGAACCCAGTACCTCACAAATGCGAGGCAAGCGCTCTACCGCTGAGCTATAACCCCAGCCCCCAAAATGAAAATCCTTCTAAGTCTTTGAGACATTGTTTAGATTAAACTTTTAGAGATGGAATGAATTTTCTAACACTGTAGTTGAATGAAAATTTAGCAACTTCAGTACAAAAAATAGAAAAAGACAACAGACAAGGTATGAAAATGATAAAGAAAATAGGAGATTATGGATCAGGTCACATACAGAGTAGAAAATATTTATAATTTATACTTCAAGATTTACAAAACACTCTTTATCTCCACAGCTTAAATACTAATAGAGAAAATGTCAATATGTTACTTAAAATTTGCTATTATGAAATTAAAAAATGTGTCTATGTTTATACCCTGTGCTTAGGAGCAAGTAGGTTGACATCAAGGAAAGAAGTATGCTAATCAATCGCTGAAAGAGAACTGGAGAACTCAGCAGTGGCACCACCAAGGAAGAGGCTGCAATAAAACAAAGCAGGCCATCTGTCAGCACGGAAGACACACACATTGCAAATTTAGAAGTTCTAAATCATCTATTGTCATTTATGGTGCTTAATATTTGTGTGACCTTTATCATGTGGAAATATTTGCCTTATAGATTTCTCTAAGAAACCAGAAGCTTCACATTTTTAATTAGAATTACATTTTATTGTTTTAGCTATATTTTAAATAACTAAGATTTTCTCAATTTATATTCAGAATAAATGTACTACAATGATATTAACTCCTCAATGCCTAATTTGTTATTTTCTAATGAAGTAAGAAATATTATTCAAGATTCAGCAACTCATCTCTTAATTAGGCACTTATATCTCAGTTCAAGACAACTTACTGTCCAGAAACTGACTTTCCCTAATCCCTCCTCCTACCAAGTTTCCCACTATAAAGTATGCTTTGACAGCTGTAGTGGGCCACTTGGAAAATTGGAAACAGAAAAGAATGACTTCACTGTGCATGAGACTTATAATAAGAGTCCTTTTCCTCATAGGATAGGAAAAGCAACTACTTCAATGGAGACCAGGCAGATACAAGAGGGTGAGGACAGCAAAATATACACTCTTTCCATCTCTGTTTGGAAAGAAAATGTACATAACTTCCTAATTTCACTCCAGAGTATGGAGATGGGATGAAATGCCTCTGAATCACTCATCAACTGTTTAATTGTAGGGCAAGTTTGTCAACATATAGAAACAGAAGTTTACCCATGTCAAACAGGGATAACACTGAAAAGTTGTGAGATTTAAATACAATTTCACCTACAAAATGCTCTCCAAGCATAGTGCCTGACACATAGTGCTTAGTAACTCTCAGCTGCTATTATCATTGCTAATCAACATCTTATAAGTTAATTTAAACGTAAAGACAATTTCATTCAAAGTCAAATTCCTGAAAGATTTAAATATGCAAGTTATATCTCTAACACCTTCAGATGACTAGTTTCTGAATTTCATAATGTTATTATCTGATACATACTTTAACTGGAGGAAATAACATATCAATATTTCTTATTTTAAAAGTCATTTCAAATGAAACTTATTCTATAAATTGTACTTTGTCCTTGTTTCATTTTTGCCTAAAAGCTAAGGTGCTAGGGGGGATTAAGAGTCCCCATTCTGAGTAACAAAAATTAAACCCAGTTTTATAACTTATCACCCATCTAGAGATTATAGTATATTAGCAAAAAATGCTTATTGTAGCTGGACATGATGTGTGGTGTATTCTTTGGAGATGCTGATGACTTACCTATGAGTAAACATTTTATGCCTCACTTCATTTGGTAGTTACCTAATACCTACCTCTATCAGTCCCAAGGTAGAAATTTCTCACTTAAAATATATGCTTTTATATTGGGAAAATGACAGCAATAGGTTGATTCTGCATTTTCTCCCCACCGTTCAAAAAATAACAATAAAGAATAAAGACAATGAATAAAAGTATATAAGATATTCCAAATAGGGAAAAAGAAGCATAGAAAATATTATATAATATGTACATATGTTCTACAATGTAAGACAGTATGACAAAATAGAGATCAAGCTTAAGAGGTAACAGTAATTCAAAGATTATAAGCAGAGATTACAAATAACCCCATCTGAGATTCAAGACGGTAGGCTAGAGGGAGGCTGCGTTCCTTGTTGCTCTGTGATCTGGGATTCAAGCAGTGGGAATACTGTTCTCTGTGAGTTATTAGAGGGTCCCCAGCCGCTGAGCCTGTGCAGACCTCCCTCTACCAACTTGCAGCTCCCTGAATCATCTCCATCTTGGGACAGTGCAACCACTGCCCTCCATATGGTAGCCTGCACCTGGGGACACGGGAAAGGGTCTGGAGACAGCTGTCCAATACAGCACTGCATGCCACAGAGCAGCATCTCCAAATACGCAGCCCCATGCCACAGCCTGGCCTACCCTGATGCCCCATCTCTGAAAGTGGTCTCCTCCATCTTGGGATACCTTCATTGCCATCTTGGGTTATCCTCGCTACTGTCATCACCATCTTTAGTTGGGGTAACTCCCATCTTGGGACACTGGCTGGGGCCTAGTAGCAATATCAAGGTGCCTATAGTCCCCCAAATCCTCCCCACACCCAGCCACTAACCTGGCACAGCAATTGCAACTACATGGCTGGCCACAGCTTGCAAAGCCTGGTCCTGATCTGACAGATTGAAAATAGCTCTCCATGACAAATGCTTAGGTCCCAGAGTGCAGCACACAGGACCTCCAGAGAGAGAGGTTCCTGACTGAGAAGTAGAAAGGGACGGGGTGAGTGAGACATAGTTTAGAGACTAAATTAAAGATCAGGAATTGTGAGGTCTACAGGCAATCTAAGGGGATAAGACCAGGTGCCCACATCACATGAACGGGCCCCAGAGGAGATCCTTGGGATGCAGTCTTCCACTGGGGACTGGAAAGTGCTATATCCCACCTCTAGGAGTTCCACCTCCAAGACCAACCCTTCCACCCTAATAACCTTCACCATGCTGAGGATGGAGATACCAGCAAAGAATAGACAACTCCACCTGCCAGATGAGAAGGGAAGCAGGAAGGATACTGGGCTCCAACAGAAACAATCCTTTAACTTTCCTTTGAGATTCATGCTACTGAGGACTGGGATGTCTAAATAGTATATTAAAGTTGTGCTGCATATTCTTCTATCTTTTATTTTTACATTTTCTTTTTCTTAATATATTTTTGTTTGCTTTTTGTATTCTCTCTACTTTCTTCCCACTCACCTGTCTCCCTAAAGTCTTTTTCTTTCTCTCTATTCTCCTGCTAGCAGCCAACTTATTTTGAATCTTCTTTCACGCTTCCTAAGATCTAATAACTCTATATTCTCACCTCCTAGCTCCATAACATCTCATCCTACACCTCCCCCTGTGTTCTTTCTGTCCACCATAAAAAAGTGTTGACACTTTGGAAACCTACTGTTTATACTGTGTAGATAATAATTGAATTTACCATTTCTGTCTATTGCGACAAAACTGTAACATCTTAATAGGAGCTATTTGATTTAAGGCTGCATATTGTTGCGATTGGGATCTGTCAATATTGATCTCACCCTTAAAAAAGAGGTATTGGAATCCTCCAGGGACATTCTAAGCCTACAGGGTAAAAACTGTAACACCTCAGATCTGAACTCCTAGAGGACTAGACACATAAACAACATGAAAAAACAAGAGAAGAAAGTGCCCCAAACAAACAAAGATACTACATTATGAGAATCCCTGGCCGGCACAGAAGAAAAAAATATCAAAGAAGGAGTACAGGATGTACATAATTAAATGTTCTATGAATTAAAGGGTGATATAAAAGAGTAAACACAGGCAACAAAAGATCATTTTGATAAAGAGCTACATAAGCAAATACGGGACACAAAAGATTAATTCAACAAGGAGACAGAGATTCTGAAACAAACAAACAAAAATCCCCGGAAATCCTTGCAATGAAGGAAATGATAAACCAAATTAAAACTCAATAGAAAGCATCAACAGATTAGATCACTTGGAAAACAGAACCTCAGACAATGAAGACAAAATATATAATCTTGAAAAGAATGTTGAACACATAGTGAATATGGTAAGAAACAATGAGCAGAACATTCAAGAATTATGGGATAGCCTGAAAAGACCAAATTTAAAAATTATTGGGGTAGAGGAAGGCATAGAGTTACAAACTAAAGGAATGAACTGTCTATTCAATGAAACAATATCAGAAAATCTTCCAAACATGAAAAATGAATTGGAAAATCAAATACAAGAGGTTTACAGGACACCAAATTATAAAATCACAATAGATTTATAATTTATACAGAATAAGGAGAAAAATTTAAAAGTCACAAGAGAAAGGAATCAGATTACATACAGGGGGAAACCAATTAGGATCTCTGCCAATTTCTCAACCCTGACCCTCAAAGCTCAGAGGACCTGGAACAATATATACTAGGCTCTGAAAGAAAATGGATGCCAACCAGAATCATATCCAGCAAAATTAAGCTTTAGATTTGATGATGAAATAAAAACATTCCATGATAAACAAAAGTTAAAAGAACTTACAACTAGAAAGCCTGTATTACAAAACATCCTTGGCAAAACATTCCATGAGGAAGAAATGAAAATGATCAAAGGGAGGAACTACACTAAAGGAAAAGCCAATCAAAGGAGAAACCAAATCCAGTTAAAAACGAAAAACAAACAAAATGACTGAGAATACAAACCATGCCTCAATAATAACTCTGAATGCTAATGGCCTGAACTCATCAATCAAAAGACACAGACTGGCAGATTGGATTATAAAAAAGGGTACCCAATAATATGTTGCTTTCAAGAGACTCATCTCATAGGAAAAGAATTCACAGACTGAAGGTGGAAGGTTGGGGAAAAGCACACCACTTAACATGGATTGCATAAACAAGAAGGGGTTTCTATCCTCATATCAGATAAAATAGACTTTAAGCCAGTTCGTCAAAAGGGATAAAGAAGGACATTTCATACTGCTTAAGGGAACCATACATCAATAGGACATAACAATTATAAACATATATGCCCCCAAATATGGAGCATCTATGTTCATCAAACAATCTCTTCTTGAAATAGAGTCAAATAGACTACAACACAATTATACTGGGTGACATTAACATGCATGTTTCACCACTGGATAGATCTTCCAAACAAAAACTAAACAAAGAAATTATAGAACTCAATAATACTGAATAACTCAATAAATAATTTAGACTTAACAGATTTATAGAATATTGCATCAATCAATGAGTGAATGTACTCAGCAGCACATGGATCCTTCTCTAAAATATACCATATATTATTCCACAAAGCAACTCTTAGCAAATACCAAAAAAAAGAGAGAGAGAGAGAGAGATATTCTGCATTCTATCACTTCATAATGAAATGAGAATAGATGTCAATTACGAAATAAAAAACAAAAGCTACTCCAACTCCAACAACTGGTTAACCACTTCTATTTAATGTAGTCCTTGAAACTCTAGCTACAGCAATTAGACAGACAAAAGAAATTAAAGGAATATGAATAAGGAAAGAAGAACTCAAACTATCACTATTTGCTGATGACATGATTCTATACTAAGAGGATCCAAAAAATTCCACCAGAAAACTTCTAGAACTAATAAATGAATTCAGCAAAGTAGCTGGATATAAAATCAACACCCATAAATCAAATGCATTGTCTGTACATCAGTGACAAATCCTCTGAAAGAGAAATTAGGAAAACTACCCCATTCATAATTGCCTAAAAGAAAATAAAATACTTGGGAATTAACCAAACAAAAGATGTGAAAGACCTCTCTGATGAAAACTACAGAACCCTAAAGAAAGAAATTAAAGAAGACCTTAGAAGATGGAAAGATCTCCCTTGTTCTTCAATAGGCAGAATTAATATTGTCAAAATGACCATACTACCAAAAGTGTTATACAGATTTTAATGCAATTTCAATCAAAATCCCAATGACATTCCTCATAGAAATAGAAAAAGCAATCATGAAATTAATCTGGAAAAATAAGAGACCCAGAATAGGCAAAGCAATCCTTAGCAAGAAAAGTGAAGCAGGAAGCATCACAATAAAACCAGACCTTAAACTATACTACTGAGCTAAAACAGCATGGTATTGGCACCATAATAGACATGAAGACCAATGGTACAGAATAGAGGACATAGTGGAGCAGGGGAGTAGAGAATGAAGGATCTTTGATTGGCAAAGTGGAGGGAGGCGCGGGGAGAGGACACAGGGCAGGAAAGATGGTAGAATGAGATGAACATCATTACTGTAGGTACATGTATGACTGCACATACAATGCAACTCTACATCGTGTACAACCAGAGAAATGAAAAGTTATGCTCCATTTGTGTACAATGAATTGAAATACATTCTTCTGTCATGTATAACTAATTAGAATAAAAAAATAACCTCATCCCTACAATATATTTATCCTAAGACTTTTATTCTTTCAATACCTATATATCCACTTTTTGTTCCTTCTATACTTATATATTATCGCTGGAAGAATGTTACCTCTTTCAATATAAGTATAGATATAAACATGGAATGAGAGAAGGCAGAATAGAACTGTGTGACTAGAATTTGAGGTATCAGTGTAAATGATGATTTCTAAGATACGTACATATATGTACATGGTATATATATGTGTGAATGTATATGTGCATAGATTTATATGTAAATGCAAATATATGCATATATACTACATACATGAGTATAATTTCTAGTTCTGTCCCTTAGAAGGCCAAAGAAGCAAAGATATCCCAGTAGTGAAGTGTACATTCAAAGGCTAGATCTTGGTTTCTAATATCATTTCCCTACTAAAAAGAAGCACAGTACTCAAAAAGTAGATGCCAGAACTGGGATAGATAGACAAAAGGTAAGCCTAACAAAAGGTAAGCACCACATACAAACATTATCTTAATACTAGAAAACAGGAAAATGCTAACAACAATTTTGGAGTGCTATTACAACACAAAATTAACTACAGTAATACATTTACAATCTTTGAAAAATAATACGAAGTGATGAGTCCACACCAATATTAAACAGAAAAGAGAAGAAATGAATAGGAAATAAGAGAAAACTTGTATACTTAAATATTGAGAGCCTTATGGTATTTGCATCAGAGTTGGAAAAATCACCATTTTGTAGCCATCACTGCAAAGATTGGATCAGGAAAGAGTCATGAATGGATGCTACATCTAGGGGAAATTTTGATAAGAATACTTGATGATCTTAAGAGTGTCTGCCCCAGACAGCTCATTAGTAAGTCTGTAATGGAAAAATGGCAAAACCTTGATAGAGTGACCGAAATTGACATTACCAATAAGGGACAGATCATGTACCAGATCTGACCCAAAGAAGGATATAACATTATTACACAGTACTCTGGCCAATAAGGCAAAAATCTCAATTTAAATATAAGGAAACATTCAATAAACATAAATTGAGTGACAATCTATGGAGTGAGGTGCCATATATATTAAAAATGTCAATGTCATAAAACCAAAGGAAGGAAAATGCCATAAAGGTCATTACTAGGCAGCTGAAAAAATAAGGATGACAGGATAGAATAAAAATTGAATCAATAAAACACTTAAAATTTTTATACACACAGATAAAGGAAAAGAACAAGAAATGAGTGATAGCTTTCTATAATTCTTGTAATGTTCTGTTTTCTTGGTCTTTTTATAGATTTAAAATGAGACATAATGATATATGGATAAAGTCTAGGATTTTAATTTTGTTTTGTCTTCTTCCTTGTGGTTTATTCCTAGGTAGATAAGAAAACTAAGGAACTGAGTAAGGCTACAGTGTAAGGACATGAGGTTATGCAGCAAGCAGGAGGTGGGCAGCTGCTTAAGAACACCTGATCTCCAATTATTATTCGCCATGTGCTATTTATCTGCTGATATGTATCCTATAGGACTGAATATTTGTGAAGTTACATGATATAAGAGAAAGACTTCTCTTTAATATTATAATTCCTATTGACAATTTTGGGGTTTTCTGTGTATTTCAAAACATGTCACATGAGAGATCATTATATAAATATTCTCCTCACTAGAATATTACTCCGCTGTTCCTACAAATATAAGCTCCAACAAAACAGAAATTTGGTCAATCTTTATACATCTTAGGGACCAGAACAGTGCCAGAATACAATACATACTGAGCACAATGTTTTTAATATGAAAGAGCAGTCCTTTATATTGCTTATGCAGAATAAATGCAAATATTAATCAAGATTATTTAGAAGTAAAGGTAACCGGGGCTGGGGATGTGGCTCAAGCAGTAGCGCGCTCGCCTGGCATGTGTGCGGCCCGGGTTCGATCCTCAGCACCACATATAAACAAAGATGTTGTGTCTGCCAAAGACTAAAAAATAAATATTAAAATTCTCTTAAAAATTCTCTTTAAAAAAAAAAAAGTAAAGGTAACCTGTAGAATGCTCTTAATGAAATTTTATATAAGTATCATGTATACTTAAATATAGATAAATAGTAGATAGCTATTATTGTACAATAATTACTTTCATTTGAATACTAACCAAGGCATCTAGAAAATGAGCAAAACAAAAATTTAGGAGGAATCATGTCTGATTCCTATTGTTACATTTTTAATCCTCTGTTGGACTTTAAAAACAATCCAAGGAGATGTGAGGAGTGCCACCTGCCTATAATCCCAGTGACCTGGGAGACTGAGACAAGAGGATCACAAGTTCAAGGCTGCTTAGCAACTTAGTGAGGCCCTAAGCAACTCAGTGAGACCCTGGCTCAAAATAAAAAATAAAAGGGGATTGGATGTAGCTCAGTGATAAGGTGTCTGTTGGTTAAATCCCTAGTACAACAAAACAAAACAAAGCAACAATAAAAACAATCCAAGGAAAAACATTGGTATCTCTTAATCTTCTTTTCAATGTAAAGTCCCAAAGATTTTTTCCTTTTTAAAGGATAGACAATAGAAATCATTTTTTTTTAGTTAAATTGTATGCCAAATCATTCACAGACATAACAAAATGTCTTTTTTTTTTAAAATTTCCTCCCCTCCCCCCCTTTCTTTAAAAAGAAGGGGGGGGGAAGAGGAGAGAGAGAATTCTTTTTTAATATTTATTTTTCAGTTTTCGGTGGACACAACATCACAACATCTTTATTTTATTTTTATGTGGTGCTGAGGATCGAACCCAGCACCCCACGCATACCAGGCGAGCGCGTTACGGCTTGAGCCACATCCCCAGCCCACAAAATGTCTTTTTTTCAGTGAAAAACCGGGCTTAAGAGCTTGTTCTTGTCTTATAGTTGGAAGGGAAAGTGTACATCCTTAAATTACAGGTTTGCTTCATACATACATTCCAATGTTCTTACATAAAAGCGCTAGAGAAATATGCTTTAAAACATTTAACTGGCTTTGTAAAATGTATAATATGTTGGAAGGTTATCAATCTGTGTTTTTTTCACGAAGGAAACACATAAAATTTAACTGTTTCCTGGTTTCTATATAAGAACTCAGAATTTATGAATTGACATGAAAATTAAACACAAAATCCCCTTCAGGAAACTCTCTTCTCTTCTGGAATGACTCAGTAGATTTTCTCAAATGTTAATAATAAACAATCTTACTATTAGGTCTTAAATATTCTATCAAGTAATTCTTACTAACACATGGGTTCATAAGAGTTCCATCTTTCTTTGTCAAATTCCGGAAAGAAACAAAAATAATAGCTGGTTATTTATTATTATTTTCCTGCAACAAAATTGTTTCTTTAAATAACAATAATATGGACATAAATGGATCATTTTGAGATAAGGGACTTGATGTAAAGTTATCTCATTTGGTTTGAGTGGCTGCTTACCCAATATTGCCCAGCTCACAACCTGATTCATAAGAGGCAGTCCTTGTTTCTTGAGTAGACTATTGTGGGTACTATACACAACATACATGGAAAGCACTGTGCTCAGCATCTAAAAACACAAACAAAACAGGTCAATAAAAGAGAAGGTGGTGAAAGTCTATCTACCAGGAAAAAAAAAATGCTTAGGAAAGTGCTGAGAACAACTGGAACTGGCCAAAATACTACTAATGTTGGACAAGGTATTGAAATTGGATGAGGGCACCTTCTTGTGGCCAAGGCTAAGCATTAGCATTCCTATACTAAACAAAGGTCCTCCTTTGTAAGTATCACATGAAACACTTTACATTTTCAAGAGCATTTTTGACATATATCATTACAATTTCTATTTGGAAGTATTTGTTATAAATACTTCTTAAAAGTATGGAAACAAAGATGGTGATATGTACATAACTTAGTGCCTTCTCCTTCTGGACCTCTCCTATAGTACTACTGATTTATTCAGTCAACTGTGGTCTGAATATTGATGACAGAGGGAATACACAAAGTATAAATACTCTTCAGAGAATATTTATAAATTAGTATAGAAGTTGACAAACTATAACTCATAGGCTGGTGTCCTATTTTTATAAATACTGTTTTGGTGGAACATAATTACTCCCATTCATTCACCTGTTGTTTTTCTTTGCATTAAAATAGAAGAGTTGAACATCTGTTAAGACTCCATATTACCCATCAATCTAAAAATATTTACTATCTGGTTCTTTAGAAAAATGTTTGCTGAACCTGAACTAGTAGCTTAATTGCCATCTAAGAAATGAGCTAAATTTTGACTATGAACAAACTAAATTCTCTTATTAGAGTTTGGATTAGCGGTCTCACTACCAATGTTTCCTAGAGAAACATTTAATTTACTCTCATATTTTCAGTGTTAAGAAGCAAAACAGAAAACAATGCTGTTGTTAAAGCTATAACATAGTCCTACAATCCTTTTAACCGGAAGATACATTTTGGGGTATCGGGACAGTGCTGGAGATTAAACCCAGGGCCTCATCATGTAAGCCAGGTAAGTGTTCTATCTCTGACTTACAGTCCAGTTTTCTTTTCTTTCTTTTTCTTTTCCTTTTTTTTTTTTTTAATTTTTGAGACAGGGTCTTTTAAAGTTGCCCAGGCTGGGCTCAAACTTGGAATCTTCCTCCTGCCTCAGCCTCTTGAACAATTAGTATTACAGGCATACACCACTGCACTTGGCTTCTAAGACACATTCTAATTTCAGAGATGTTAAAATGGGATAAAAATGTGTCTTGGAGTCAATAAAGTATGGCAGGCAGTACAGGAATTAATGCAAACTAATAAAATGAATGCAAAAAGGAACACTGTAATGGAGTTACCTAACATTTGGGTCTTTCTAACAAAGCATATAACAATTTTAGCAAGACATTCATTCTTTGCTCCTTTAGAATAATAGTCAGAAACATTCATTTCTGTCAAAGTTCTGGTGAAATGATAGGTGAATGCTGTCAAAGCTACTCTGGCTTTGGTGTAAAGCCAGCAAGTGCACCATTTCAAATGAAACATGTTTCAATGGCTTGACAGGATCTTTTTTTTTTTTGGTGCTGGGGATTGAACCCAGGGCCTTGTGTATGCAAGGCAAACAATCTACCAACTGAGCTATGTCCCCAGCCCTTGACAGGATCTTTGACAAAGCATTTCTTCTCTTTATACAAGTTCTCTAAGAATGCATTTAACTTATCATCTTTTATGTGGCATATTTTTATTTTTGACTGTTTTGGGAAATATTTTCTATTATTCCAACTCTGTTCTGAGGAAATTTGAGAAGACTCATATGAGTTTTGTTTCTTGTCACTGTTCTAGATGTGGTTATTTATTCACTTAAAAAGAAAAAAAGTAGTTTCAATCTTGATTTCCAACAACCAAAAAAGATAAAACTTTATAAAATATTTCATTATATAATCTCTAAAATTCTCACAGCCCTATTAGATATTATGTCTACTTACAGGTTAAAAACAAACTGAAGTCAAAGTTCTGAAAATTATACATGTAGAATACAGTGCAACTGGGAATTGACTCAATTTTGAAACATGGAGTTTAAAGTTCTTTTCACTACACTAAGGCCACCAACCAAGATGAAGTTTATATTCTCCTAGGGTATCATCTGAGGTCTTAACCTAAGGCTTTTCTTCATATAAATATACTACAGGTTGCTTTCACTTCAAAGAATCTTGTCTCAAATGAGGACAAAAGAGAAATTCAGTCCAGAGGAAGCTCTTCTCAGCTCACGTTTTGGTCAGTCCAGATACCTTTTAAATCACTACAAATTCTCTGCTCTCTGTGTATCTTTCAGTTGCCTCTTGTTGACCTTTTTGCTATTTCATACCTTTGGGAGAACCTATTTCTATCTTAGAAATCTTTCTTCTTAGCTGGAGGATATTGAATGACATAAACATAATGGCACATTAAGAACATAATTAAATATGACTATAAGACATATTTTGCTATATCATTGGTATAACACATAGTATTGAAAATCTGCAACTCACCTGTAATAGATGTACCAATAACTCTTCCTTGATAAAACTATTTTTTCTTTTGATGAGAGATGTTATAACAAACAGGGATAGTAGAAGAACCAGCAAGCCTGCACTCATTCTGTTTCAAAATACAATTCACAATTTAAATTTTCTTAAGACATTTCCTGAACACATCATATGATAACATGATGCATTTTATTCTAATATAGAATTTCTCAATTATCTGATTTAATCAAGAAGCAGCAGCAAAATGGACACAGAAGTTTAGCAGGAAATATTAAAAATGTTAGTATAAAACATTTTAAGGATATATTTATTATTTCCACAATTTTTAGTAGCTTTACCTGATTTTTTTAATTCAACTTAAAAGTTATTTTACATATACCAACGGCTATAATTCTTGGCCTGAATTGAACAAATTTAAAGTAAACAATATAAAAGATAGCTAAATAAATATATTATTAGCATCTATAACATACATTTTTCGACTATGAGCACTTACTTATTCACATAAAAAGTATCACATTTAAAATCTAAATTATTTCTAGCAGGGACAAACAGTTCCTTTCTAGCACTGACCCTGGTGCTTTCCTCAGTTGCCCTGACTAAAGGAAGAGTAGGGCAGTGGTCACAAAGGTGGCATACAGGTGAGTACATTATTATACATTCTTTTTAAAAAAATATTTTAGTTGTAGATGGACACAATATCTTTATTTATTTATTTTATGTGGTGCTGAGAATTGAACATAGGGCCTCACACATGCAAGGCAAATGTTCTACCACTGAGCTACAACCCAAGTAATGAAATAACAGATTATACTTTTCAAGAATACGAGGTATAGAATGGCTTCTGAAGTCAAAGGTGACTGATATATCAAGGAAACTGTGCACTATTGAGCTTTATTTCTCACCCCCTAAAAATGTGAATAGCACAATACAACTGAAATTAATTTCAAGTCAGGATCTGGAACCCAAATATAACGAAGAGAAAAGAAATTAGGTTAGGAGAAATAAGGAAGACACCTAAACAATGCAAAGCAGGTATCCCCAGGAAAATGCTTGCTTTTTGTTTGTCAACTACATTCTGAGAATCATAAAGAAAAGTATTAATATACATAATTATATTAAAAAATTAAAACTTAAGAAAAACAGCAATGTGTGAATGAAGTCCTTTGTTATTTTTCTCTTTCTTTTCCTTTATAAAAATAATATGGACTCTTGACTTGCTGGTAAATATGTTTTTACTTTAGTGCACTAAAATAATAGGGACACTACAAATATATTATACAGTTTTGCTTTTTCCTCCAATTTTAATCTATGTTTCACATGCGTCTTTGTAATTTTTTAAAGAATGAAGTTGCTGTGATAGATCAAGTACAGAATAAAAATTTCTCCACAAACCAGGAATTAAAATAAAGAAGTTACAAATGTAACTATAGCAAGAAGCCAACATATAGTTAAAATCACTGAGCAATTTAAATTTACAGAAACATTATTTTAAAAATACAAATTAGATTTTTTATATTTGAATAGGTTTATTTGCTTCCTGCAGTCATCTTTAATAGAATATGCAAGAGGCAAATTTCTATGGACTATTTATATACTTTCTGTTTCTTTTAGTATAAAATAAATTCTGCTTAACTGTCAATACTGCTTGAGCAGGACTAATAGGCAAAGACTGATAAAATAAAACGGCTTTACAAAAGCAATAGAAGAGCTCAAAGAGCAATCTTCAGTAAGAAATAAATGAAAATATTTAAATTCATTTTCTCACATACTATTTATAGTTTATGATAGTTGCAAAATGTTTGATAACACTATTTAATGAAGTATGGCTTAGACAGTATAGTCTTGAAATTCAATATAATTATTTTGTGTTCTACTAATAAACTGACTTCTTGAGATAATTCCTGATGTATTGCATATTGATTTTCTTGCACCAATGAAAAAAATGTGCAGAAACTCCTAAATTACAGCACATACTTTAAAAAATTAATATTTTTTGCTAAAATAGATATATCCTCATCTATTAAAGATTACATTAAAATGTATTTTAAATGCTTATAGAATTCAGAAGACAGTAACAAGGATGATGACAACATTAGAAAAGAAGAAAGGAAATGTTAAATGAAATAATGATCATTTAGCTTGCCAAGTACACAGAGATACACAGACACACACAACTGGTAGGTTATTTAATAATTTTAAAATATGGTTAAAAGATTTAGATTTATTTTGGTTATATTGAGGGGAAATAAACACATCAACAGAATGAATAACTTAGGTAAGATACATAGAAAAGTTGTCCAAGTAAATAGTTTGGTGCCATAAAGATCTTTATATTCAGATCAGAGAAAAATTCTTTTTTCTAAGACATTTTAGTGTGAAAGGCAAAGTCAAACGCAAAGAAGGATAACACAATAGTTTTTGGACCTTTTTCCTTAACAACAAAACATTTTATCACATGAAGCTAATTTTTTTTTCCAATTCCCCAATACATGAAAGAAAGAAAATCTAGACTTTCGGGGGAGTATTATGGTTTGGATATGAAGTATCCCCCGAAAAAGCTCACATTAGAAACATGGTATCCAATGTAGCAATGTTCAGAATTAAAATTATTAAATTATGGAGCTAAAATCTAACCAGTGAATTAATCCATTTGATGAATTAATAATGTGATGGACTACATGGGCATGGATGGTGAGTCACTGAGGGTGGGCTCCTGGGGACCATGTTGTCCCTGGCTCCTTTCTCTCCCTCTCTCTGATACCTGGCTATCATGAGCTGATCAGCTTTCCTCTGACAAGCCCTTTGGCCATGACATTTTGCTTTTACCTCAGGCCAGGGCAATGGAGTAGGCTGACCATGGATTGAGTCCCTGAAACTGTAAGTCCAAAATAAACTTTTCCTCATCTAAGTTGTTCTTTTCAGATATTTTGGTTACAGAGAACCAAAAAGCTAAAAAACATGGGACATTATCTTAAATTACATTTTTTAATAGAATTTCATTTTCTGTGTGTTTGTGATATTGTTAAGTTTCCATTGTTTGGCACAATTTTATTGTTTGTGCTGGAATGGAAGCATCTCCAAGGAGACTTGATGATTTTAGCTTAGGCCAAAATCATGACTAATAATTTGATATTAATATTTTCATGTCTAGTTTGCTTATTTATTATTTTTATGTGGTGCTGAGGATCAAACCCAGTGCCTCACATGTATGAGGCAAGCGCTTTGCTACTGAGCCACAACCCCAGCCCTAATGCTTAGTTTGTTCATATGATTTTAAACTCATAATCAAGATTGGGTTCAAATTTCATAGTATTGACTGAGGGGAAAAAACTACTGAAAAGAAAAGAAGATACTGTTCATACACCAAAGAGAGATCTGGCTTTCGACCTACAACAGGCATCAGTGGGAACACTGCCAGGAGCAAAGAGAAGAAAGTCCAACTCAAGGAGGTGACCTAAAATCAAGGGAAAAAAAAAGTCATCTTTAGACAAATATTGTTTATCTTCAGACAAATATAGTGAAACCTGCTTTCAGTGTTTCAGGCTACCCAACTGTGAAACTAAAAAGAAAATGCAAAGCCTTAGAGCCATTTGCTTTATTTTTTATTTTAAATATCTTTTTTAGTTGTAGGTGGACATAATACCTTTATTTTATTTATTTACTTATTTTTATGTAGTGCTGAGGGTCAAATCCAGTACCTCACGCGTACCAAGCAAGTGCTCTACCACTGAGCTACAACCCCAGCCCCCAGCCATTACTTTAAAAAGTAATAGAGTAACTGTTGGTGATGGACCTGATCCATAGTGGGTGCTGAATTCAGTACAATATGAGCATTATCTCACACAACAAGTAAATGAAATAGGATTTAAGCTTGGGCCTGATATTTTAAAACAAGTGTTTTCTTAATGTTATACCATATATTGATAATGGCATCTATAAGAAAACTACTACTACTGCTGCTGCTGCTGCTGCTACTACTAATATTTACTAAATTTTAATTGAGTCTAGAAGAGAAATAAGTATAAATACTATTATAATTAATTAAGACAAAACTGATCAATAATTCCATTAATTAGAGATTTTTGTAAATTCTCCAAGGTAGAAGATATGTTTATCCTCTGTCAAAAGTATCAAAGTGGAAACATAAGAGTGTTCTCTGTAGAAATACACTATAATTCTCTACCTAGCTAAAGGAAGAGTATATAATGAATATATATTTCTCTGGTGAAAAATTGAATGGTTCAGGCCCAAGAGGGAGGTGATTTCTCAAGACTCACTTTCAGAGTACAGTCCCCTAAGCCACTGCCCTGTTCTGAGTAGCTTTCTCCATCATTTAGATATTTTAAAGCTGAAGGAATCCAGGAAATGCTTCACAGAAGGGCAAACCCGTTCTGCTTCTTCAGCATTTCAATTACCACATAATTGGCTCATTCTGATATGCAAGTCTAAGTGAATCACTGAAACCTAAAGCCAACATGAGGCCTCCTGTCAAAAGGACCAGACTCTTTAAGGACACATGCTACCTTTTGGTTTAAAAACAAACAATTCCTTGAGTTAAATACATATAATCTGTTCTATGTCAAAATGAGTACTTATACCTTTGCTCGTGTCCACAGCTGAGTGAGAAATGGCCAGCCCGCAAATATAACAAGTCCAGCTGTAAGCATATAGCGGTAGAAAAAACTGAGAACCTGGTAATGCATTCCAAAAAGAATGGAAAATGAGGTCACTGAATACCAGTTACATACATATGAAAGAAATCTGGAAATGTAATCTGGTAAATTACTTACTAATACTTCAATTCCCAAGGTACAGATTAACAGGTGCCCAACAAAATGGCTCAGAGGAAAGGTCAATAGTGATGCAACAAGGTCTTGAATAACTTGAAATCTGTTTTAAGAGATTATTTATGAAGAATATTTATACTCTGCATTGAACTAAAAAAGTCAAATAGCAAAAAATTAAAAAAAAACTTTGCACAAATCTAAAAATCAGGAAATTTTCCACTCATAGATTATTTTAAAAGTAAGATAAATTCCAACAGATATATTTCAATGGCTTTGGCTCATACAATTTGGGTGAAGGGCAATCCACAAGTATTTTGGAAAAAATGTAATTTTTGAATTAATTTGAAATGATCACAAAATTTTGCCTGGTTTCTTTTTTTATTCTTCTTTTTTTTTTAACATTTTTTAAAATTGTTGTTGAACCTTTACTTTATTTATTAATTTATTTATATGGGGGGCTGAGAATCAAACCCAGTGCCTCAAACATGCAAGGCAAGTATTCTACCACTACGCCACAATCCCAGCCCAGTTTGCCTGGTTTCTATAAACATTAATGACAATAAATGAGCCTTATCTTATTTAAGTTTAAACACAGGTACATACAATTACAGATGTAATACCAGAAGTAAAATATAATGAACCCACACCTAGGCAATCTTATATTAAAATCTCAATCATCTTCATGAAATAAAGGTAGGTTTTTCCTCACCTAGATAACAGAAAATCCCAATTGTACTTTATGGTTGAGCTAAATAACCTTTTCCAAACTCAATTTAAGATGTCATTAATTGTACAATAATTGTATTTGGGAATTTATAACCATAAAAAATGTATTATATATTCAATAACTTTTATATTTTATTGCTGGCAAGAAAAACTTTTAACATTTGTAGTACATTAAGTGGGTAATTATAAAAGGTCAGTATCATTTACTTTATGACCTTTTTCTGATTGAAAACAATGGCTGCAGAATTTTATCAAACTATTAATAGGAAAGGAAAGGAAATACCAGTCCATGTAGGAAAGGAAAGCTAATACCAGTCAAAAGATTATTTTTTGTTTCCAATAGTGAATAAGTACAGAGTAAAAAGAGATTATTCTATATAATCAATTTGAAGATTATTTTCTAGGAGGAAAATGAATTTTATGTTTCATTTTCCATATAATCTATCAAAAATATAAAGATGGAATATAAAATACTTTCAAAATCATAGCTTCCCTTAAAATTTAAACATACATGTTATCTTCATCATTAGGAAATTTATAGGAAAAAAATGTAAAACATGTTTTCAAAATGTGTTATCTTCATTTAATAATTCAGAGGCATTCTATAGCAGAATAGAATTTTCTTCTTTTTGTTTTTTCTTTTTGTTTTTAACCACCGAGCCACATCCCTAGCCCTTTTTTGTATTGTTTTCAATAGTGAATAAGTACAGAGTAAAAAGAGATTATAATGAATTATACAGGGTCTTGCTGAGTTGCTTAGGGCCTTGGTAGGTTACTAAGGCTGGCTTTGAACACGCAATTCCCCTATAGGTGCGCCACTGTGCCTGGCTAGAATAAAATTTTCCACAAGGATAAAAAAACCTTTCAAAAATTATAAAATCAGGGAAAATGACATTAGAAAAAAATCTGAACTAAATAAGCATATCCAACAACTCTATCCTTTCAAATGGAGAAGTAACAGTATGTTCTTTGGTCAATGTCTTTATGCCTATGTTTAAAAATAGTTACTAACCTAAACATTTTAATACTATTTTTATTTTTATATTTAAAAACTAAAACATTTTTAATACTTCATGTTTTTAAATAATGGAAGAGCTATCAAAGCTAGTCATCAAAAATTAGAATAGTCAGGCCTTGTGGTATACACTGTAATTCCAGCTACTTAGGAGGCTGAAGCAGGAGGATCACAAGTTCGAGGCTAGCCTAAGCAACTAAGGGAGGTTCTGTTTCAAAATAAAAGAAATAAAAAGGGTTGAGATGTAGCTCAGTGATAAAACAACACTTGGTTCAATTCTTAGTACTACAAAAGAAAAAAATTAGAATAAAAATATGCATAGTGTTATGATGTACAGGTAAGGCAATCTTGAGGATATCCTTATTTTAGGTTCTCACCCCCTGGTCAGCTTTAAGGGTGTAGTTTTCTGAGAGGATATTTTGATAAGCAAGACTAAGTTTAAGTTCCACTTTGCTTATGTAAATATAGAAATCCACAAGATCTCCAACATGATTCTGGCTGTCTTTGAACATGAATCAGTGGTTTTACGTAAAAGTGCTTAAAACTCACCTTACATCCTTCCTTTTGAAGCTTTCTAGAATGGTGACAATCCATTTTAAGTCCAACTTGTAAGGAAGTACTATAAAGTACTTAAAGTACTGACAGCACATGTGAATGATAAGGACTAATCTGTCAGTATACCTTACTGTATTAGACTTAACTACAAAGTTTCACTTATCTAGGCTGAAAGGTTGAGCAGGAAAAGAGGGGGAGAAATTTATAGGAAAAAAAAATGTAAATTTCTTTGTAAGACATGAAGATATTCTGGACTCTGAGATGGTGGAACATGTTCAAATATGTTATTTTATGCCCAGTACAATCAATGTTAATTATGTTATTTTGATTCCACATTTTTTCTTATAAAAGATACACAAAAAAGAAAACAGGGTAACTGCTATCTCAGTGTAATAAAGATGAAGCCAAAAGGGAAAGGTAAAATAAACAGAATGTTTATATGCAACATTTACATAGTTATAAATAAAGTGAGAGAGTTTAGAGATTTGAGAATATTATAAATATCTTTGATGATGTATGCCTCAGAAATCTAATGCATTTTAAATGTAGATTTAGCTGTCAATGAAGTGAAAAACAAGGCAGCAAGATAGTTACTTACTCTTTTAGAACTGCATACCATATTGGCACTGGCAACAAACAATATACATAGTAAGTCCAGGGACAGGCTTGAATCAGCAGGAAGAATGTTACTAAAATTCCAATAGCTACAAAACTACATGGCAGGAGATGGCTTGCTTTCTGAAAATCAAACATAATATTGAAACGCTTCCAACAACCTATGCTAATTGATAGGCTTTTAAGAGATTTTATAAAGTGAAGAAAACATTTTACTGTCTTTCAATAGTTCTACAATTAGATGATAAATAAAAGAGCTACATTAAAAAACAAAAGAAAATAATCTGTCATTTGAGGAACATATTACAGAAGAAAAAACTGGATATTTTGGGATTGTTACAGTTAGACAATTCTGAAGTCACAAGTGATCATGGTCCTAAAGTCTGTTTATAATAATAAATTGTTCAAAACTTAACGTATTCTCTCAATTTTATAAATGTTTACATAAATTTCTGGATAACTCACAAAAGCTTATTTAATCCATAATACATTATAAGACTTAATGTTCATTTAGAATAATGTTTCTATTTATTCAAACTACAATTTGACATGCTACCCAGGCTACTCCACTGCCCAACTACCACAGGTCCTTTCAGTCATATCTACTCTTCCCAACAACCTGCCAAACAAGGGAGTTCCCTCAAAGTACGTCACCATTGATAATCTCCATGGGTCAGGCAGGCCAATGGATGCTCTGGGCCAGTTACATCAATAAGTATAATAAAGACTTTCAGAAGAGTTAAACACAGCTGGAGAGAAGAAGGGGTGGAAAGGAAACATGGTACTCTTCTGCTTCCATTTCATGTTTTTTCTGTTTTGCTGTTTTAGCCAAAGCTAAATGAGGCAACAATAAACAACTACTTTCTGAAAGTAGGGAATTTCAAGGAGGAAAAGGAAGAGATTCTTTTCCTTTTTATAGTTCTTCCCTGCTGCATAAAATGTTATCAAAAACAAGTAAGAATTAAGCATAAATTAGGACATAGTTGTAAAGGGGGGGGGGGCTAACCCACAATATTGTAACTAAGAGTTTGGAGCTGGGTAGATCAGATTTCATACCCTAGCTCCCATACTTTCTCACTGTGGGAATCATAAGTATTAAAGCTTTCTGAGACTTAGTTTTATCCCATCTATAAAATGGGAATAATTTCATACCTACTTAGCAATGCTTATAATGCTTACATGAGATTAAATAAAGAGCTTAACAAAATGCCTAGAATATTACTACTACTTAGTAAATGATGGCTATTGTTATTATTTTTATTTTTATTCTCTTTCCTCTCCTTCTTCTCTTTTACATTAGTCCCAGGTCATTATAAAAATCTGTTAGTGATAGCACTGGAAAGAGAGAAGTGAGAGACAGTAATGGTCCAAGGGAAAGCAAGAGTAGTCATGGGATGAAATAAGAATATTTGGTTATAAAGCAGAAGACATCTGAACTAGCAAGGGATAAGGAGAAGGTAAGCATATATCAAAATTAAATACATAACTTAATTAAGGAGATGTAGAAAATTACATTTCAAGGAAAAAAGATTACTCACTGCATTTGCCTATAATAGTAAATAAATCAGAAATGACTCTAGGATCTGGGGAACACTGTCTTGTAGAAGTGACATAAGCTTTAGAGTCACACCTAAATTTAATTCTGATGCTACCATTCTATTTGCTTGTCAATTTGACTAAACCATTTAGCTTGTCTGAAACTGTTCCCTCATCCAACAATGGATGATAATATCTGTTGCAAAGTCATCTCTCATTTTGCTACAGGTGCTCTATACACTTAAAGTTCTTCCAACAGACCATTCTAGCTTACCTCTCTCCGGGCACAGGCTGAGAACATCCTTTTTCTTGTTGGGTTATTCCACCCACTCTTTAAGATTCTTCTTTGGCAATCACCTCTTCTGCAAAGCTTCCCTACACCCCATTCTAATCAGAACACAGCTGCAACTATCTGACATTCTAACTGCTTTCCACACTTCCCTTCAGCTAATGCTATACACTATGATATATTATTCCTCCTATGAAACTGTTGAGGTTGTATCACTTCTCAACACTGTAAACTCTACACTAAAGGGAAATAAAAATATTTTTGCAAACAGAACCAAAGGATTCAAAATACATGAAATGATCTCAACTGTAATGGTCAGTTTTATGTGTCCACTTGACTGGCTATCATCTCCAATTATTCGAACACTATCCTAGCTGTTACTGTAAAAGGTATCTTGAAGCCATGGTTAAAATCCATAATCAATTGACTTTAAGTATTCCAGATTTAGTCTACATAAATGGGTGGGTCTGATTCAATCAGTTGAAAGACTTTAAGGGTAGAATTGAAGCTTCCCTAAAATACAAATTTCATCCACTGGTTGCAGCTTTAGTTGCTATCTGCTTGTCCAGCCTGCCTTCCTGATAGCCTGACCTATGGATTTAGGACTTAGTTAACCAATCCCCACAATTGAAAAGCCACCTCCTACATTAAATGCTTAATATATATTTCCTACTGATCTCCCAATTTTCCACTTAAGTGAAAATGTTATAGTTCAGCATTTAAAGCCTTTGACTTCCTTGGCCTGTACTGTCAGTATATCTCTTATCAGTCACTTGAACAAACCTACTACATTCTACCCAAATTTATTTTGAAGTTACTATAGCATTGAAACAATGAGAATTTAAGTGTTAGAAAATATGAGTTTTGTCATTTAGAACACTCAGGACAGTCTTGGGTAGTAGGGCTCAATAAAAACTTACCATCCCCAGCATAACAGTCCATTTTCCCAGCTTTGCCTATTTTCATCATTCAATTTGCTTTAATTCTCATCCTCTCCCTACAGTCTATTAAACTTTTACCAAAACTTACTTCTTCCTTGCTATCATCACCTTAGTTAAAGTGAGTTCACCTTTATTTAAAATGATAATCTTAACAGGAAAGACAGTAGAATGAAATGGACATAACTTTCTTATGTTCACATATGAATATATGACCGGTAAAACTCTACATCATGTACAACCACAAGAATGGGATCCTAATTAGAATAAGTTATACTCCATGTATGTATAATATGTCAAAATATACTCCTCTGTCATGGGTATCTAAAAAGAACAAATTAAGAAATGACAGTCTTTATATCATCTCACTTAACTTATATTAAGGTTGTTTTTTGTAATGGAGTATAGTGTACCAATATCTGGTAAGTTGGTTATGTGTGCACATATCTTACCTACTTAATTCTAAGATCCTTAATGTCAAAATCTGAACTATGTATCTCTTTGCATAGTCCACATATTATCTAGCATTGTACTATACACTCAATGAATATTGGATACATTCTCCAGATGAATAAAGAACTATCAGGTATAAATCTTGCTGACATATCAATGTAAAAACATCATTTCCTTTCCCAAGGACCTGAACATCAGGATAAAGATAAAAAGCAATATTTGGCACAAAACCATGTGGGATTAAAATCTTAGTTCTTCACATTATAGCTGAGTGGTCTTTAGCAATGCTAGTCACTTAATTACCCTCAGCTTCAGGTTCTTCTTTTGTAAACAGAAATTATAATGTTTACCTCAGCACTGTTATGAGTCTTGGTTAGTAGAATATATTTAAAGTACCCAGTAGACTGTCTAGATATACCCATTACTAAAACACAGTAATTTCTGTGTTTTTTCCTACCATGCACAGGAAATTATTCCTATTTTACTCAACATCACATATATTCAAATAATTAAAATTACTTGCGGGAAATTATATAAGATACGCAAGCATTGTGACAAATTGAAATAAACACTAATGTTCTGCCCTCCATTACAGAAAAATAAAATGTAAAATTAGAAAAGTTATCATTGGAAATGTTTGCAGACTACTATTATCAAAAATATAACATGAAAATATATTACTCTTTAGAGGATTTGGGCACTGTAATTATTATTAGAATGAAGAAAAGGAAATATAAGTGGCATATTTTCACTGGTAAATCCTGGTTAGCAATTTATTTTAAATAAGAGAAGTGTTTCAATGCAGTAAAACTATACATGTACTATTATATTTTCTGTGTTTAAAGAGGTTTTTTAAATGTTTTTCACTGAAATTACAGTAAACTAGGGTACATTCTTAAAATAAACAGAAAGTTCTATTAGAATTTGGTATTTTGAATAATTTCAGAAAGTTGAAGGAGAAATAAATTACAGAAAAATATACATTACTCAGAAATATTTGGGGCAAGTGATCATAAATTTTCAGCTTACAGAAAATTACAGAAAAATATACATTACTCAGAAATATTTGGAGCAAGTGATCATAAATTTTCAGCTCCTAAACTGTTAATAGCAGATAAGGTTAATTACATTGCTTTGAAGTAGTTTTCTGATTACCTATACTGGAAAGACATAAAATACTTATATTAAATAGTTACAAAAAAGAGCAGAAATCAACATCATTAACTATAGAATTTAAATTATTTATGTAGATTATAGCTTTCATATTTTACAGGACCAATATTAATACATCTTCTTACCAAATAAAGAACTAGAGATAACAAAAGAGATCCAATATACCAATACAAACAAAGAAAAATAAAGAGTTGACTTAGCACAAAGACTTACACATTATATGAACTCACTACACATAATTTGGTTAAATTTCTTTCGTTAGTGATTGTTATACCATCATGTAAATCTTCATTATATTTTCTGAACCTACCTTAACTTCTTTACTAATACTTCTTGTTAGGTTGGAATGAGACTTGATGATCAGCAAAGAAACATAAGAAGTCCAACCCACAAAACCAATAGCAACACTGATGCCCAAGAAGAATCTGTCATAAGTGTGATAATAGGACAATCCTTTTAATGCAAGATGAATCAGTTCTGTGCAAAGGGAAACCTATAGAGGAAAAAAAACCATATAACTTGCACCTGGAAAGAATAAGAAAATCTAAATTTCAAAGAAAGAAAAAAAGTTTCTAACAGCTAAACCACTATAGTAAATCAGAGTGAGCTTATAGATGACAAATTTAAGAATAGATTTTGTCTAAGAATATTCTTGCAAGTACAAAAAAAATTCCAGAATACAATTAACTTTTAAATCTTGATGAAAAGGGGCATTTTAATGTAAATCATTTAAGATATATATGTAGTATTCTAAAATAATTCTTTTTGCAGAAATGATCTTCAGATGACACATAGAAGAAATGAAGGTTCTCTACTAAAGGTGCCAAATAATGGAGATTCCCACAATGTGTGAATGTATATATGTGTGCATGTACACCCCCACACATCCCTTTATATCTTTTCATATCAAATGACTCAAGACCATTATAAAACATCACTAAAATAGCTTACTATTGCAGAGGAAAAGAAAAGCTTATCATTTAAAATCACAATAAAAACAAACATTGGAAATGCATGGTTTCCAATTACTTGGGCACTTTTATAAAATGAAAACAGAATTCTTTCTTACTTTAAAAGTATATGAACATTTAATTAAGAAAAAAACTAAAGAAAAACATGGGGAAGGAGTTGGGAAGAGTCAAAACTTCAGTATGAATCATTAGATCTTCATTTTTTTTTTTTTCCTGGCACTGGGGATTGAACCCAGGAACTCAAACATTCAGGGTAAGTGCTCTATCACTAAGTTACAGCCCAGTCCTTTTTCACTTTATTTGTCCAGGCTGATCTCAAACTTGCCATCTCTGTCTCAGGCTCCTGAGTAGCTGGGATTTGAGCCTCACACCCAGCATTATTAGACTTCTGATAGTGCAATGACACATGCATGGCATTCTAAAATATTTTACATAAGAAAGTGACAGTAACTTGAAATTTATTTTCTCATTTTAAAAAATGGGAATAAGGTTCATTTCTAATGCTAAGTCAGTAAAGTGCGCCCATAATATTATCTGAAATAAAGAGAAGTATGTCCATGGCCAAAGCAGATCCTCAGGAAAGTATCCTGGCCTGCCCAATGTGCTGCTGCTCTTCATCACCATACCTTGCCCTTCCCCAACTCTGAAATGCTAATCAGCTATTTATGTCCACAACACCTGGATACTTTACTTACCACTTCATCAAACTTTCCCTGTTTTATGTACAATCTTGCTTTTCTTAAAATGTCTATCTGTTTAGAATCAGAGAGCCACCTACAAAAGAAAAAGAATACGTTTAAAATGTTTTCTCATTTCAGTTACATTTGCTCTTGACTTTTATTTTCACTTGAAAAAAAAAGGATAGTGAAAATTGAGAAAACAAAAAACAAAACAAAGCAAAAATGCAAGAAAGAAATCTTAAACTAAATTGTATTACTTCTGGCTGTTTGAACTCTTCTAAGAAATAGCTTATAGCTAGATCTAGTTTTCTTGACCCAAAGTTTTAACTATAAAACTACACTATGAAAATCACATAAGCCAACTTTATGAAGAAATGTTAAGACCCTGACAAAGATATTCTGGTTAAATCAAAGTAATTAATGGAATACAGAGTAAATGGCATAAGTTCTATCACTAAGCCCTCATGTGTTTATGGCAGACATGAAACACAAGGCAGGACCATCAATGCATTTTTCACTCCCAACCCAGACAGAACCTAACCAACAATGCAAGTCAGTGAATAACCCGAACTTATTATACTATGCAATATATGGGGAAATACTAAAATATACAGCATTGCCTGAAACTATAGAAACTGAGGAAACATAATAATGAAACAAGTATGTACATTTAAACACAAAATTGCAATACAGAGCTTAACTAAACCTACACTCCTAAACTTAATATATTAATGTTTAAAAATTATAGGAAGTAAATATTTTAAGCAATCATTACTAGTTTCAGGTGGGAGGGTCAGACACTTATTTCAGAATCTGAGATTCTTGTCTAGAAAACGCACACCAAGGGGGTAGAGAGAGAAGAGGGGAGGGGAGGGGAGGGGAGGGGGGATAGTAGAGGATAGGAAAGGCAGCAGAATACAACAGACACTAGTATGGCAATATGTAAATCAATGGATGTGTAACTGATGTGATTCTGCTATCTGTATACAGGGTAAAAATGGGAGTTCATAACCCACTTGAATCAAAGTGTGAAATATGATATATCAAGAACTATGTAATGTTTTGAACAACCAACAATAAAAATTAAAAAAAAAGAAAACGCACACCATTTAAAATTTTATGTTTTTTCAGAAAATTTATTAATCTTAGGTGCCTATCTATTACTTCCCTTAGAGTTTTATGGGAGACTCTGATAAAGAATCTGTGCCTATTTCTAAGAGCTATCAGATAGTCCAATCCAATCAGCAGGTTCTCATTTTTTAGACTCCAGGAAAATTCTCCTCCCCGCTTATATTATTGGAAATTGGAAGGAAAAAGTACCAAGAAGCAGGAATACATGAAAGAAGAACAAGCGACTTCAAAATGTTGCCTTGATCCATTCTCTATCCCTTCAGACACCAAACATCGTTTGGGAATATTTTCCTGGAAGTTTTAGAAATTAAATTACTGAGCCAAAGTGAACAGACATTTTTTGAAGATGCTAAGTTGAATTTCCCAAATTTCTAAAAAAGACTTCTAGTTGATCTTTTTCCTTTTGCTTTGATCCACTCAGATTCTTAAATTACCGAGTACACCATCAACTTCCTTGTAACTGATACAGGCTTATTGTCTATTTCATCAATTCTGATCTTGCTAGACTATTGATGACACTCTCCTTCTATTCAACTTAATTTCCCATTATCCAAAATGTATACCATCTGCTAAATAAGGTTAAACTCTTTGTTCTTCATCTATCATGTATTTACATCTGAGTTCTTACTCACAAAGATCTTCTCTGCTTTCCAAAATCAAATCTTCATCATTCATTATGGTCCATTCCAAATCTCACCTCATACCACTAACACTTTTGTGTGGTCTAATGATCAGTTTATTTTCTTTCAACTAAATTATAACCTCTACATGGATCAAGATAATAATATTCATTAATTTGCCCAGTAATACTTAGCCAAGTGCTAAGCACATACAATAAATCAATAAATCTTAATTGGTTAATATGCTATCAAAATTCTGTAGACCTAAGAAAGGAAAAAAGTAAGAGAATGGAATACATTGCCATTCTTAAAGTATCTAAGGATTTGCTAAATTAAATAAAAAGATGAAAAGGAAGATTTTCTGAAACCAATTACTTATGCTAACTTAAGAGGCCTTCTCAAGTATTAAGAATGAAAGAAGAAACATTTATGCTACATTATATTAAGAGTACTCACATAAAGAAACAAGTCAGGCTAATTTATAATTTTTCATAAATGGACTATTAATAAATCTTGAGACATATCAAAATAGACACACCAAAAGCCTGCAATATATCTGAAAATCATCAAAATATTCTGTATAAACCTCACTATGGCCCCATGACACTTAAGACTCATAAAATTGTCCCCAATATAAATTTTTTAAAGTTTCATATCAAGTTGAGAAGGGATATGAAATAAATATTTTTATTAATAACATATTTTAAACATAAAGAACTTTTTGAAAAACAAATTCCAGAATATAAAGTAAAACACACATATTTTTGTAATAAAGAAAACAAACAAAATAATAATAAGTAAAGGGAACTGGGAGGGGAGTAGTGAAAAGAATATCACGTACAAATGAAAATAAATAAGGGAGCTCTGATACATAATTATGAATAAATCTTGAAGGCCACATGAATAGAAAAAAAATTGCAAAAAAACTGTATTTTAAAAATAGGGATTCAACTATGTCACATCATTTAATATCTTATTTTTAAAAAGAATCTAAAGAAACATGGCAAAGTATTAACCTCTGTTATGGGTAGAAGAATTTTTGTTATAATCTATATTCTTTTCAACAAGCTTGAAATATTTCTTAATTAAATCTTAAAATATGTTAATAAGGGATATGTTCATATACATAAACATGTACACATGAGATATATTGGCAATGCAAAATAAACTGGAATTTACCTTCAGAGAAAAAAACAACTATGTAAGATTGGGATATGAGAGGAAAGGTAAATTTTTCTTGTTATGCAATTTTTATTGTGTGCACATATTATTTTTCATGAATATTTTACCAACCAGTTTTTTTAAATAAAATATTTAAAACACTAAAATTTAGTCATAGCTTCTGGCTATAACAGAGAAGCTTTGGCATATCAACACTCTCACTAGGACAACTAGAAAGCCTAATAAAATAAATTAAATATCAATCTGAAAGTACTAAGACAATTAAGAAATGAAGGGCTAACATCCTAAAGGGAAAGAAACCATAAAGAAGGAACCCAACTTTCTAATCAAGACATCTGCCATTTGTATCTTGGCCTAATGCAAAAGGCTGAGAATTTGGGCATATAGATGCAGCCCAGAGGTAAATAATACAATAAAGGCTTTGGCAATCTTGCACAACTGGAGTGATAAAAAATAAAGTTTGTAGCTGCCAATGCAGGCAGGAATTGGGACCTAAAAGGCAAGAAAAATAAGAAAACAATTCTGGGTTTAAAAAAAAATAGATCTCCTAGAATTATTTTCTAGAAGAATTACTTAAACAATTTTAATAGATTCTGAAGTGACATGGGGATTTGTTGTTTGTTTGTTTGGTAATGGTGTGCTTGGAACCAGTGGCCTCACACAATTCTAAGCCAGTGCCCTTCCATTGAGCTACATCCCCAGCAAAAGAAGTCAGGTGAAAATGAGAATATACTGTGTGAATATAAAGCTCAGAAATAGGGATAACTACTTGATGGTATTTATAAATCAAGGTTTAGATCTGGAGGAGGCATAAAAGAAACTTGGAGGTAGAATATTGATGTATTTTTTGATATAGATGCTGGTTACAAGAGTGTATATTTTGTACAAATCCACACTTTAAACTTAAAATTTATGTACTTTGTTCACATGCTTTAATAAAATTTACATTAAAATTTGATCAGTTTTGAAACAGGCTAGATAGAAGGAAGATAAGCCATTTTCTTTCACATACTGTAATGAAGAGACTAATGTAATACTGAGAACGATTTAAAGTACAATTGAAAGTCAGAGGTATTTTTGAGGAAAAAATGACTACAATGACAGCCAACAGTGCCATCTCAGCTTGAGGAAGTTCTTTCAGTAAGTTTCACAGAAAGGACACAGTTCCTTGTGCCTAGACCTCCTCAGAATTCAACCATCAATCCATAAAGGTCAAAATGTCCACTCTAAATCTATTAATAGACACTTTACCAAATCCAAGCACTTTATCATTTTATTATTAAAAGTTATGCCTGATGCACAGTATTTTATTATATATATTGAATATAACACATAGATTATTTGTTCCATGGTATAGATAAAGTATCTACTTCTCAAAGTCACAACTTTTAGGGATAATTCTATTTATTTGAATGGATGGTCAGAAATTTTTCAATCTAAAATTCCTAGATGGCACATAAAAGTTAAATTACTTAAAAACTATGTATTATTCTTATTTCAACTAATACTCTTAGAATTCAATAACAGACTTTTTATCATTTTCCTCTTAATGAATACATCTGCTTAGCACTTCCTTGCTTCTAGATTGATGGCACAAAACAGTAACATGGACATTTGGAGAGAATTCAGAATAGTAGCAATTAAAGGGCTGAAAATTAACTTTCTTTAAGGGAAAGCTGAAGACACCACCTAACCTAATACAGGAAAGAGAAGGTTTCAGGAATAAAAATATATTCTCAGATGCTAATAAGGAAGAAATTGATCACCTGTTCTACCTTTTGGAAAGTGAACTTGGTCTAAGAATTGTTGTTCAGAGACTGTTTTCATTTTTAAAAAGCAGTTTAAACATTGACATTTAAGAGTTAGACAATGATATACTAAATTAATTTCACTCTATATCTGTGCTTCTACTTTTCCTGAAGTAATACAAGTTTTAGATATGATGTCATATAATGATAAATTATTCATCTACACTTTAAATAAAGCCTCTGGAATATTTGCAGCATAATTAGCTCTCATGCCCTTATAAAAAAATAAGGCAGTGATGGAATACACATTTTTTATGCAGAGAATAACAAAAAAACCTTAATAATTGCTGAGTGATAAAAATACACTGTCAGATGGAGGACACTGTGGTAAACAAACAAACTGTCCTGGATGA